ACCAGAGCCCAAGAGTGAACCGGAACCCAAAAGTGAACCAGAGCCTAAGAGCGAGCCAGAGCCTAAAAGCGAGCCAGAACCCAAGAGTGAACCAGAACCCAAGAGCGAGCCAGAACCCAAGAGTGAACCAGCACCCAAGAGCGAACCAGCGCCTAAAAAATCCGCCAATCTTCAGTCAGCAGGTAAACGCATGCGAATTGGTAAAGGCTCCACATTGTTCAATCCCGATCTTCATCCTTTACTAACCAAATAAAACACAAAATTCACACGAATCGCATTGCCCTGACTCAGTCGAGGAGTTCACTGAATCACTTTTATATTTCCGCAGAGCCAAAGTACAAGCTTAATCCGTACACTCCACGCCACGACTTCAATCCCATGGACTGCACGGATGTTGTCATTGGTGCAGCACGTGGCATGGCCAGCCGTGTGGGTGACTATTACAGTCGGGATCGTTCCACGCCGCGAGTCGATGAGGTCTTCGGTGGCAAGTCGAACTTGGAGCTGGGCACCGGTTTCGAGCAGAACGGCATGACCACGATTATCTTCCGCAAGAAGTTGGTGGCCACCGAGCCCACAGATCACACTTTGGACGATGCGCTCACCCACGTGATCTGGGCCAAGGGCCAGGAGCCGGGCAGCTTTGTGCATGTGCCAGCCGCTGGCTCGGGAAATGAATCTCCAATGCCCAAGGACTTTTATCAACAGGACGAGATCAAATATCACGGACACAACGCACAACGTGGTGTTACCCAAATCAATTTCTTTGGTAAGCCCAGCAAAAGTCTCTAATGAATCCCATCTAATCTATTAAACGTTCTGCAGAGAAAGAAAAATCCAGCTCGAGCAGCGATCGCAACGATCTGAGCTCAAATGTGCTGGACAACGATTGCTATGGCCACTGGAAGTACCCCTCGAACTGCTCGCCCCAGGAACACGGCTGCGAGTACTACGCCACCTGGGAAACGGTGGGACGCGGCGACGAGATGCGCTGGCACATTGAAACATCGAATACACAAACCTGGACGGGCATCGGCTTCAGTGCGGATCAACGCATGTCACAGACGGATGCCATCATCGGCTGGGTGGATGGACGCACCGGTCGTCCATTCCTGATGGACACCTGGGTGCTGGGCTATGCGCCGCCCAAGCTGGACGATCGCCAGGACATTTACAATGCCTCTGGCCGCATCGAGAAGGGCGTGACCATCTTGGAGTTTACGCGCAAGCGCGTCAGCAACGACGAACAGGACCTGTCCTTCACGGACGACAATTGCCTGTATTTGTTCTTCCCCGTGCTGGGCGGTGCCTTCAACGTGGTCAACAAGAAGACGCGCAAGCACGAGCAGGTGCCACCGATCTCGGCGCAACGTGTCTGCATCAAGTCCTGCGGCAAGGGTAAGTTGAACTACAGTTAAATATTGAATATTCAATTGAAATCTCTGTTTATTTTTTTTCTTTGCAGAGCTGGAAGCTGTATTCGTGGGCACCAGCACTCCAGCGCCCTCGCGTCTGGTCTATGCCGTGGGCGTGAAGCTTATGAATCTGGCCGAGTCCTTTGAGGCACCGCAGCCAGGCACCGTGGACTTTAACAATCTGGCAGCTACCATTTCGGACTCCTTCAATGGCATACTTTCGCCCATACCTGGCTACTATAAAACTGAGATTATTGGCTTTGAGAAGTGAGTATTCTTAGAGGGATTATTATTTACTAGTTCAGCAAACATAAACTTGCATTTTGTTCTTCTACAGGCAAGGCAACGCCATGGTGGCCAAGGTTCAGGCCATGTTCGACAAGGCCGATGTAGAGAAACAGCATGCGCTGGACACCAACAACATAGAGAAGGGCAGCGAGGCGGCTGTGCAGAAGAATGCGGATGCCATTAAGGCAGCGCTGCTGGATCAAATCAACACCGGCAAGGTGGGCTCCCTGACCGTGGATCCCCAGTTCCTGGACTTTGAGGCGCTGGAATGTGAGTCCATTTGAAAAGAGGAAACCAAACCTGGGCATAATTTATAATTTAATTTGCATCCACAGTTAAGAGTGCCGACGATATGAGTGCTAAGGATACGTTGCTGTCGTTCTTCGATCTGTCCGAGACACGTTTGTATATTGTGCTAGGTCTGATTGCAGCCCTGGTGCTCATAGCCCTGATCCAAGCATTCTGCACCATACTGAAGACCTCGCGCAAGAGCAAGAGCACTAAGGTAAATTCATTTAGATCAATTTGCCATCGACTTTAGTTAAACGAGTTCTTTTAGCATTAACTTTAAAATCTGTTTGTTCAGTTTATATTCTGTTTTATTTATTTACTATTTTTTTTTTTTTTTTTATTTAACGCGCACATGATTCTTTGTTAAAAGGTTCAATTCATACACGATTAATAATGTTCTGTTCAATTGTATAATGTTATTTAAAGCTGGTTTACGTAATACCCGACGAATGGCGCATATATCAACAGCGGCAACACCAACGCTACTATCAGCCTTCTAGCGATCTATAAAAATAAAAGATACAAATTATATAAAAAATTTAAAAACAAAAAACAAAAAACAAAAAAAAAAAACAATTATCAACACAAATTACCCACCACAATTATATATATACTATATACTAAAATGAAAAGAAATATATACTCGTCTCTTTCCCTCTCACTGCCTGAACAAATGCAATAAGAGCTAAAAACTGCCCAGTAAAATCGAAATAAATCTTATACAGTTAGTCAAATACGCGGACATCCTTATATATGTACTCTATATATATATATATATATACACACATACAAATATTGATTTATATGTGTTTATATATAGCCGCCTGTGTGTTGAGTCGTGCTTATCAAAATCAAAATTCTAGAACATAAAGAATTCATTGGTAATTTAAATTCCTTTTTTTGGTTTGTTTTGTTGTTGTACCTATTAACCCTCAATTAAATCTATGTATGTGATTACTTTGCTAACACCCTTAAAATAAAAAAAATAATAATAATAATACTTTTGTTTCCCCGTATTCTTCACTCACACTTTACTTATTTTGGAGCTTTACTTCTAACTCACATTCTCTCTGTTTCTGTCGTTCCTAATCAATCTATCTAGTTTGTTTTCCTATATCTTTTGTGTGTTTGTAGCCAAACCAGTTAGCATTTGATCTATGCTATTTCTTACTAAACCATATATTATAATATGTATGTATACATATGTACATATATTGGCCAATCGCTCCTAAACTATATTTCTGCATACTATAAACCTATGTATTTTTGAGTAGTTCATTCTTATTCTTTCACAATGCTCCCTAACAATCAAACCATACATGGGTGTCATATCTGTGGACTATCTCTGCCTCTCATACTTGGAATTTAGCTAAATTTGATATAAACGCAAGCACAAGGCACATTCTAGTTGCAAAACCATAGTACATAGTAGTCCTCCAACGATGTCTAGCGCACAGTAAACTAGAAAGTTCCAAAAGTTTAGTCTATTCGACTTGAGACCATACCAAATGCTGACTGGTTAAGCGCTTAGAGTTTGATCGATATATAAACTAATTGTGTGTCTTCTGTCTGCTCTGCTTGTTTGCAGGAGAAACTCTTACAGAACACCCCGTGGAAGGAGTTTGCATCTAACACGAACTACGCATTCGATCCGTATGGCGAAACTGAGGAGAAGCACATGACCAGCAGCACAACGGCCAAGGAGAAGGCACGCAACCGCTCCACCGCCAGCAGCCAGCAGACCACCCTGCCCATGTCCCACTCACCCACCAGCAAATCGCAAATGTACTACGAGAGCAATGGCAACAGCAACAGCAATGGCAATGGAAATGGAAATGGCAAGCATAGCAGCAATGGCAATGGCAACCGGTCCTCGAACGGTCGCCACATGATGCAGGAGAGCAGCGTGGGAGGCACTGCTAGCACAGCACCCGGACCTTATTCACGCGGCAGCTATGCGGAGCGTGCCTATTCGCTGCCCCGCCAGAATCATCATTATCAGCAGAGCTCGGCCAATATGCAGCCCTCCGGCTACTATACGCACGATCGGCGTGCGGCACGCCAGGAGCGGGAGCGGGAGCGTGAACGGGGCGATGAGCGACGTGCGCGACATGAACGCGACTCCAGCTATGATCGATCGCGTGAGGATCCTCGTTTGAATGGTGGCTCTGACACACCAGACTTTTATTTCATGCCGTCGCAGCGCAAATACTCCGGCGAAGTGGTGCGTGTTTATGTGGACTACAACAAGGATCCAAAGCACTAAGCAACAACAACAGCAACATAACAAACAAATTGTCCCTTGGGGCATACAAAATGATGAGTGCATACACAAAAAAGCTTATTTAAATATCTTCGTTTTAAGTCCTTTCTTCGAACTATATATTCCGTCCTGCTATCCGGCCCACTGCTGCTTCTCGTTTCGATTGCCATAAAGCAGTTTCACTGCATGATATTTTACATGGGGGATTTCCCCTTGTTTTCACATTATTTTTTGTTTCATGGTGCGCCAGCTTTATCTAAACGCACAAAGTTTATTTAGATGCAGTTCAGGAAATGTTTTAAATGAAAAAGAAAAATATCCACAATTTAGTAAATTGTAAATATTTTGCATAGAATATAAATGTCTGAACAAGTATTGATTCAGGACTTTTGCAATGTTTTCTATTTAATGTGCAAAGAAATATAGTCACTGTATTTAATCAAATTAAATATGTATATGTATGTTAATATATAACTTTTAAATATGTTGGAGCGCATTATACGATATAATAATACTCGTACAAAATGTTTAATTTTATAATACATTAATTAAGTACATATTAATAAAGTTAGGCATGTAAAATACCATAAAAAAAAATGTAATTGTTATTATTTGACTCATATTTTTCTGATTTCGAGTTTTAGAAACGGAAGTACGTTATATTTTAAATTGATGACATTCAAAATTCCAAAGCTGCGTTTCAGTGTTGCAAAACTCTTTAATACATAAATCGATAGTGCGCGCCTCAACTATCGATATCTGTGTGTATTGTTTCTAGTTTCATCCCTAAACTCGTAGGTTCGCGCGCTTTTAGTAAAAAATGAATGCCATCAAACACATTAGTCGCGTAGTAAAATCGTTTTGAGAGAACTGTAGTAGTGTATTAAATTTTCAATAATATATATTGCTTCAATTAACAAACAACACAATGGACATCGACAAAGATGTAGGTCAGGCGTATCACACGGTGCAGTTGTCGACGAAAGAAATGCTGAAAACCAGCCGACGTCAACATTATTGCAATGTAAGTCAACCTCAACGAATTTTTCTATTTCTACTCTGCTGACGCCGCCAATTGTTTAAACAATACAGATGATAGACCTGCTGGCCAGCAGCTGCAAAGCCTGTGGCCTGATAAACACCTCGTTTACCAACGAGGAACTGGTGCAGTTCTGGCTTGGAGACATATTACCCCTGATGTTTGACTCAGACCGCAACATACAGAACTGTGCGGTGGCTGCAATGGCCGAGGCACTCGTTGCCCTGGACGTGTCTGTTATACATGAGGCCAAATGCTGGCCCCAGATACGTAGCGAATTCGTGAACAACTATACGACACTAATTGGCGAGATGCGCGATGCGAAGAATAACAATTGGCACAAAATCTGGACGCTGTTGGTGCAGATCATGGATAACGATCTGCTGCGTGGCTGCACTTACATCAACAAATTTCTGGCTATAGTCGAACTGGGCTTTCGCAACCCGGACAATGGCATTCGCTCTGAGGCTTTTCTCTGCTGGCGCGTGCTCATCAAGGTCTTTGCCGCCTACAATGAGCTGGGAGCGGGCAAGCGTTTACGCTTGCTCCTGATACCACTGCGGACCTCTCAGTCCCGTTCGCCTCATGTGAGCAGCATTAAGGTGCGTGTGTGGTGGTATCTGCTCAGTTGCCTGGACGCCGAGCTGCCCAAAACCTTTGAGAATGCAGTTGAGTTTTTTCTGAGCTTCCTTTTTGGCGGAGGTTCGCGTGGAAGCTCAACAGGCTTGGCGCACACCTATCAGACTGCGAGGGAGCTGGCGGTGCCTTGCCTGGTCGCTTTGTGGAACATGGAAACCGGTTCCGAGATGCTTAAGTGTTGTTTGCGCAACATGCGCCTCGAGGAGATTAGTCAGCCGTCGCCTCTAATGAACGCGGAAGTGATGCAGCAGCACTGGCAACCCATGCTAGCAGCCGCAGTGGCCGGCATGAAAATGATGAGCGAAAGCAAAGACAACAGCTCGGAGACGGAGCAAGAGCTGCTACATTTGCTGCTGCGCAATGTAACGTTAGCTATGTTCCAGTTGCGTGTGGCGCCCTTCACAGTCGCCTGCTGCGCGGAGCTGGAGAAGACGCTGTCAGAGGATGGCAGCATTCTCCGCTCCGTTTTCAATGCCTGCGCCAGCATAGTAATGCCACAGCAGCGTGCCGACTCCCAGGAAGTGCTGGAGGCCTTCATGAAACTCTGCCTCAAGGCACGCGCCGAGGTGCCAGCGGCCATAATGCAGCGCTGCATCTCGTTGATCTACGCGCCGGAGCAGCTGGAGGCCCGCAACAGCATCGAATTCCGCCAGCTGACCGGCTTTGCGGTGGTGCTCATGCAAAACAATGATGACGAGGACTACGAGGCTTTTGGCATCAAGCTGCAGATGTGGCGCCAGGTATCTGGAGCACTGCTCAATTACCTGCGCGACAATGCACTGGAATACCGTGTGGCCCACAATGCGGCTCTAGTGGACAGATGGATTCTGTGGCCTCTGCAGACGAGCGCCAGCTTTGCTGGAAGACGCGCCAGCAGCTACTTCGATGGCGTCTTCTGCGAGCAGTGGCGCCAGCTCATCAACGCTGGCCAGAATGGAAGTGGACGCAAGAATTTTGTAGTGGAGCTGAAGGCCACGCTGCTGGAGCTGCTGAAGAATGGCAGCAAAGAGGAGCCGCATTTCGCAGAGCTGTTTGATATCTATGTCGGTGCAGTGCTTAAGCTGGGCATCTGCAAGGATCCGCCGCTCTATAAGGATGTCTTTGCCCTAATCCAGGCAGTCTTTGAGCGTTCAGCGCTGACGCAGTCACTGCTCGAGGGCTGCCTGAATACACTACGAAATGTCATCCTGGAACTGCGCCAGAACGAGCTAATGGTCGTGTTTGATGCACTGAAACCCGTTTTAACAGCAGCACTTCAATGCTGGAACAAGAACAAGTTCGACGGCAGCTTTCTCAACGAGTGGAAGCGGGCCATACAGGAGAGGTTCCGGAAGCTGCCCATGAAGACCATGGCCCAGCAGCTAAAGGACCTGTTCAAGGGCGATGATCTGTTCGTTATCATACCCTCCGTGTGGAGCCTGAATCCGGACAAGCTCACAGATCGTCAAAAGGAGCGCTTTGCCGAGAAATCGGACATACCAGCTCTGTACAATGATATGAGCCAGTCGCAGGACTCCTCCATCAAGCCCTGGACACCCAAGAAGGTGGTCATTGCCAAGGGCAAACAATCCGAGATCTCCATTGTTAGCGATCGCAATGCAGAGCAGCCAAACAGTGATGAGATTGTGACCATTGATGACTCGCCATCAGAAGACCTGTCCAATCCAGTTGTGACCACGCCTGCGCGCCGACGTCAGTTGGGCGACGCAGCCAACAACGAGTCCGGCAATGCCAATACGGACAAATACAATTTCCGCAAACCACGCGGCCAAGTCGAAGAGGAACCCAAAACAGTTTCTCCAACAGCTTCTAGCGAAAATACACCTGGGCGTCTGACGCGCAAGCGGTCCGCGTTAAAGGATAACAATGGCGAACAGCCGACCACGCCTACGGAACGACTGCGTTCGCCCAGGAAGCAATCAGCGAACCCTCCTCAAGTAACTACGGCTACAACAACAACCACAACAACAGCAGCAGCTGCAGCAGGTAAAATCTAAAAGCCCTCAGCAAATATTTTGTTTAGCTCATGTTTTTAATTGTCTCTCTCCCTTCCCTTCTCTTTCTCTTCGCACAGCTGTCAGCAAGAAGGGCAAACTCACCCCAATGCAGAGCGAGGATCTGTTTTCCGATTTTGTAACCCCTACACTGCCTGCACAGGTGCTGCCGGAGTTGACGAAAAAACCCGCAAGTGTGCTGGAAACGCTACTTACTTCTTCTTCATCCGAACATGCTGTGGAATCGGTGGCCAGCACACAGTTGCCATCGGAGCAGATGGAAACGAATGCAGAGACCTCGCCAAAGAAGCCAAATGCGCGACTCTGCAATTTGGTGAGTTCGGCTATAATAGAAATCAAGCTCATAGAAATGAAGTGGACATTATACTAACTAAATCCATTAATTCCTTGCAGAACTCGCCGCCGGATCGCAAGCAGACAAACAATTCGACCAGTCCCACGCTGCGCCCCAAGCCGTCGGCTCATTTGACGGGGCGCGGGGCGCAGTTGATCAACATGATACGAAATAAGAAACTGGATGCTGGCACAGCCTATCCATTAGGCGGTTCATCGACAGGACGCAGCCATGCGACGCCCGTTCGTCATGTTGAGCGCTCCGAACAGGTGTCGACGCCCACCTGCGAGCTGAACGAACTAGCTGCCGCGGAGCACACGTCCACGCCGATAGAGCAAGTGGCGAAGGATTTGCTAATATTTTCCAAGCGTCTGCCCTCGCCTTCGGCCAGTCCCTCGGCCTCAATACTTAAACGGAAGCTGCGCTGCGAGAGCATTGACGATTTTGAATCGCCGGCGCAGAAGCGTAAGCGTGTGAGCTTCCACGATCCGCCCGTATCTATAACGAAAGAGTATCTGCGCGATGTGGAGGAGTCTCGCAGCAGCAAGCCAAAGCGTGTCCTTATGCTCGACAAGGTAGCCCAGAACCCAGAGTTGCGGCACGCATTGAAACGGCGTGGACGGCTGGACAGCATCATCGAAATCGAAAGGTTTGCTAATGAGCAGACAGCCCGGAGTGCAGCATTGGACAAGTCATCCTGCGATGCCACGGAGGATGAGCCTTTCGATTCGCTCAAATGGAACGACACAACGGCAGCCGAGAAGGAAGTGCAGAAGGATCATTCACAGACTGCAGCAGCGACAGCTCCACAAGATCTGGCCATACTGGACGTAGAGTCCGCCTTGGACCTGGCTGTGGAGCAATGCTCGCTAGACGAAGTGCTAGAGCGTTTCATGGCCAAGTCGAATAGCTCTCCGCTGAAAAGCGCGCTTACCTTGGCCAAATTTCTATCGAATCAGATGAAGGGCAATGATAAGCTGAAGACCAGTGTGCTGGAAACGCTCTCCGAGAATCATTCCAAAGACTTCCTGGACCATGCGGTGCGCGAGAATCTGTCCTCGGTAGTGTGCGATCGCCTCAATCCGAACTCTGTGCTGGAGTACATATGCGCCAAGTCGAAGATCAACAACAGCTGCCGCAGCAATCTGTTGGCTCAGGTGCCCACGATGGTACGCCAGGAGGCGGAGCGTACCGCTCTGATACAACAGCTACTGCAGCAAAGCAGCTTCACCGACGACCAGTTGCTCGATCTCATTGGCCAGCTGATGCAGATGCGCAGCAATCGTGGCAGCTGCAACTCAGGCAGCGCCAGCATCGATGACAACGTGGCCGAAACTGCGGCCGACTCGTCCTCCAATCTATAATATCAAGTATTTTTTATACAACTATTTAGCGGCCATTATCAACGAATCGCTCATTCAACCTGATCAATGCAGTCGCCTCAGTTACATATATTTTTTTTTTTTTTTTGTAGTTTTTAACGCTGTTTATGCCAAATGCTTTTATCGATTAGTTAGAAATGCTTTTCTATGTGGCATTTGTAGATTGCTTACCCAAAATTCACAATGCTCGCGTATGGTTATTCAATTGATTACTCAAATTATGATTGAACTGATTACAAATTCTAGTTTGTATTCTAATATATTTTTTATAAACAATTGAACTCTCTTTAAATATCCTTATCGCTTAATATTTATGGCTATTATTGTAAATCGCACTGAATTTAAATTGATACATTGATTCATAGTTTTAAAATACCCGATTTTGATCTAAATTATATGCATATAATTTTACAAACATACAACAAATCCAATTGATATATTTTTATAAAGGTTTAAATCTGAAATGTTGAAGATTATATATACATATATATAATAGAATTTGTAGAGATCTCTTATATCTTACCATGTACAAAAACAGTGTGAAACATTTTTATATAAATATATTTATAATTGAAATTTATTGATATGTATTGCTCTTAAACTTAATATGTAATAGGAATCTCTCCTTTTTCTCTCATTTATCATTAAATGCCAGTATCTCTCTCTCGCCCTCTCTCTCTCTCTCTTTCTCCCTTACATTAATAATGTCATTTCATTATCTACAGTTCTTTAACCCGTCTTCGCGTTACTAGAGACGCACATTGCTATAAAATTTATAGCAAAAACTCTCAAGTGTGTTGGCATTCTGACCCACTAACCTTCAGTGGGCGACTCGGCTACTTAGTCTACGTACAGATTAGATTGCCAAGCTGCTCGTATAGGTAAACGTATTTAAAGTACCAACTACTCACATATTCACTTAGTATAATTCCATTGATATTGTTCACGTGCTGGGGAAGCGTAGCAACGCGAGGTATATCAGTCGGCATTGTCTGCCGACAGCGTCTGTTAGTTAAGAAGCTTTAAAGCTTTTCGTGCTAGTGGGTGGACAAGTGGGCATGCGACACGCAACAGATGCGTGAATCGTGGCCAACAGTATATGGCAAAAAGCTGTAAACCGGCCTAAACACCATTTTATATGAAATAGCGAAAAGTTATCAAAAAGCCAAAGAATCGCCTGACAATTTGTTTGTGGGAAGGTCATTTGTAGGTCTGCACTTTGTGGGTCTGGGTCTGGGTCTGGCTATATAAATAGCATTTCAAATTCTTACTCTTCGTCTTGGCTACACAAGTGTTACTGACCTAACACAATCAGCTACTGTGGCTTCTGCTGCTGCTGATGCTTTTGCTGATGGACGTCATCATGCACGTCTAGCGTCTGGTCTCTGTCTAGAAAAAGTATCTTTGCCTCCCTCTGCCCCGGGTCGATGTCTAATGAATTAGCGCTGGATTCGTGCTGTCATAGCTTTGCCTATTTCATTTATGAATTGTCGCTAATGAATCATTTAACAGCGGGAAGCGTGCAGCGTAAAGCACTCGAAAATATTTCGCTTATCAGTGGGGTTAGTTCAAGGTGTAACCGGAAAACCATGATAAAATATTTAGCTATAAATAAAAAACAAAAAATGAATGAATATACGAATTAATTTGATATACATAATTTCATGGCGAATTTTGTAGAGTTTTGCCTAGAAAGACGAGCAAATAGTACTCCCTCATATTATCTACAGAGCGGGAAATGCTCAAACAAATTAAATAATCACTGTCATGGGGCAAAAACTATTGCATGAGTATGCCAAAGGGCGACTCACAGATTCTGCTTAAATAATGTAATATATTTTTACGCTACAAATTGTTGACGAAGCCCTGCATAGTATGAAAATGATTTCAATGGGGGCTTTATTTCATACTCATTGCGTATGCCAATACAGGGCATATCATTGTTAAACTATACGTGTCGAAAAAGATATGAATAAAAAATCGCGTTCGGATACTTACAAAAAAAGGAAAAAAGATGCACCGAAACTGAAATAAAAACAAAAAACTTGTGGGCAAAATAAATATAAATTTTCGCCGTGTGCCGTGCAGTTCACAGACAAGGTGAACTCAACACTCACGAAGACAAGACGAGTGTGTGTGTGAATAGTTCGTGAATTTCAATTTTGTTAGCCAATTAGAGAGCGGGTGGTGCGAGCACAGCTGTTTTTGAGGGTGTGCGAGCAGCGGGGGAGCACGGCGAATTGGCCACAAAAAGCTGCACATGTAATTGCAACAGCTGCTGCTGCGACTGCATCCCCAGCGAAAAGCAGCCAAGCAGCCAGCCAAATAGTCAGCTAGCCAGCTGTATGGGGTTATACGTGAACGGTCAGCGTTTAGAGCGACGACGACTATCAGGCAGAGCACACGGACGGGGTAGCAGAGCGACGAGTAGCAGGCAGAGCAGTTCATAAAATTCCAGCAGCGACGACTACGAACTTCCAGCATCAGAATAACAAACAGCGGTAAGCTTAATACACAGTTTGAACTTGCTTAAAGCAGACGCGCGAAACGTGCGGCAGCAACAGTCGAAGCAGCAGCAGCGACAGCACCACCAACATCATACAGAGGGTAGCAGCCAACCGAGCCGAGTGTGAATAAAACTCTGATGTAATCATTTGCTGTTACGCTCGCCAAATGAAAAATATATCGAATCGCATAGAAATTCTTTAAGAATCGACGGTATTGTGGCCACTGGGCAACGTATACAGTATTATTCAGCTTTTATTGCGTGCTGCGAACAGTTTGGCTGGAAGCGACCTCAAGGTAAACATTCCCAATTTGTGTTTGGAAGCGCATAAACGACGCAACAGAGACTTTGAATGCATTACATTATTTTTGCGTTTGCTCAACACTGGACAAAGCGATGTTTTGAGTCTCTGCTTACGCACTGCTGCGGCATGTCGTGGAATGGAGCGCGCCCATATCGATTTAATATACTTAGCGGATTTTTTTTTCTTTTTGCTACCTATGCGTACATATGTGTGCGTTGGAATATTGGAATGAAACACACGCACACAAACACATCCACTCACACAGTTGTTGCGCGCAAAAAATAGTTCGCAATACAAAAAAGCTTCGCGCGCTCTCTCATCGCTTTAACGGTCTCGGAACAGCTAAAGAGAGCGGCTAGCAGTGAGAGCAAGTGAGAGAAAGAGAGAGAGCTTAACCAATAGGAAAACAACTGCTTAATATGCCGACTAATTATAGTATTACAATTTTTAATTAGCCACACATCATTAAAGAGAGCGTCCAGCTGCCTTAAGAGAGGGGATGTCGTCGCGTATGTTTAAATTTGGCATTACCGCCGCAAGTGCCTGTGCAGGCTCTGTGATTGCCGCATGGAGCATCGATCGGTGGAATTCTCCACATGTGGTAAGTGCATTGGATGACCTAGTTTCTTAGTTTCTAATCAACTGTCGTTTACAGGTTAACAATGCCGTGCAACGTCCACCCAAGCGTAAGCGTACTCTGCCCATGCGCAGCGAGCAAATCAAATCATTGATGAGCGGCGAAGAGTACGATGTGCTAATTATCGGCGGCGGCGCCACCGGCGCTGGCTGTGCCCTCGACTCCGTTACGAGAGGTAGGCATTCATAAATTTCCTTGCGTCTCGTCTTTCAACACAAACGATAATTTCTTTTCTGTTGGGTAGGTCTGAAGACGGCGCTTGTGGAGCTGGATGACTTTGCCAGCGGCACCTCCTCGCGCTCCACCAAGCTAATACACGGTGGCGTGCGCTATTTGCAAAAGGCTATTCTGGGCGTAAGTATGAATTCCATAACAAAGACTTTGAATATAAGTTAAAAGTAGAAAATGAGGAAATTAATTATTGAATATAAGTTAAAAGTCGAAAATGAGAAATGAATTATAATATAAATATAAATATTGGTAAATCGAAAAATAATCAGCCTCTCATCTCTCACATAAATGTTCAAGTTTCACTCCCATTAAACCTAAGTACGTAGTCTTTTTACGTAAAGCTAGTAGTAATGCTTTTTATGAATATCTCTCATTATCGCTACAGCTAGATCTTGAGCAATATAGAATGGTTAAGGAGGCGTTGGCGGAGCGCGCCAATATGCTTGAGTCTGCGCCACATTTGACGCATCCGCTGCCAATCATGCTGCCCGTATACACGTAATTAGCAACGATTCCTAATTGTGTGATCAACTATATATATATATATATATATGTATATATATTCGATTCCAGGTGGTGGCAGGTCCCCTACTACTGGGTGGGCATCAAGGCGTACGATCTGGTGGCCGGCGATCGTAATGTGAAGAGCTCCTATTTGCTATCGAAGAAGGATGCTCTGGAGCTATTTCCCATGTTGAAGAAGGACAAGCTGTGTGGTGCTATTGTCTACTATGATGGCCAGCAGGACGATGCACGCATGTGTCTGGCGGTGGCTCTGACAGCGGCTCGTCATGGCGCCGTGGTGTGCAATCATGTGGAGGTTAAGGAGTTGCTCAAGAAGGACGACGGCAGCGGCAAACAGGTGCTGTGCGGCGCCAAGGTCAAGGATCATATCTCTGGCAAGGAATTTACGGTTAAGGCCAAGTGCATCATCAATGCCACGGGCCCCTTCACCGACTCCATACGCAAAATGGACGATCCGACGGTGAAGAGCATCTGCTGTCCCAGTTCGGGCGTGCACATTGTGCTGCCCGGCTATTATAGCCCCGACCAGATGGGTCTGCTCGATCCCTCAACGTCGGATGGACGCGTCATCTTCTTCCTACCCTGGCAACGGCAAACGATTGCCGGCACCACAGATCTGCCCTGCGAAATAACGCACAATCCGGCGCCAACTGAGGACGAGATCCAGTTCATTTTGAGCGAAATCAAAAACTATCTCAACGCTGACGTTGAGGTGCGTCGCGGCGATGTGTTGTCCGCCTGGAGCGGCATTCGCCCGCTCGTCTCTGACCCCAACAAGGATGACACACAATCCCTGGCCCGCAACCATATCGTCCACGTCAGCCCCTCGAATCTGATCACCATTGCCGGCGGCAAATGGACCACATACAGAGCCATGGCAGAGCACACTCTGGATGCGGCCATCAAGGGTAACTAAATCTCAGATTATGATCGAATTGAACTGATTTTCCTATTTTTCGTTCAGCTTGCAACCTGAAGCCGGAGCGCGCGGAGGCTGTCACATCATATCTGAAGATTGAGGGCGGCCAGGGCTGGACACCCACCATGTACATCCGTTTGGTGCAGGATTTCGGCCTGGAGTGCGAAGTGGCCCAGCATCTGGCTAAATCGTACGGCGATCGCGCCTTTGCCGTATCTAAGATGGCATCGCTAACTGGCAAACGCTGGCCGATCATTGGCAATCGCATCCATCCCGAGTTCCCCTACATCGATGCAGAGATCCGTTATGGCGTGCGTGAATATGCCTGCACTGCTGTGGACATGATTGCACGTCGTTTGCGTCTGGCCTTCCTCAATGTGCAAGCCGCCCAGGAAGCGCTGCCCGCTGTGGTCGACATTATGGGCGAGGAGCTGAAATGGTCCAAGGAGGAGAAGGAGCGCCAAATCAAGCATGCCACTGAATTCTTGGCCAACGAAATGGGACACACCATCAATCGCACGTCCAAGGAGAGGATACCCATTAAGCTATCCAAGGAGGAGATTCAGACATATGTGAAGCGCTTCCAACTTATCGACAAGGACAAGAAGGGCTACGTGTCCATTAACGATATCCGTCGTGCGCTCAAGAGTTTCGGCGATGGCGATGTCTCCGGTGAGCAATTGCACGACATACTCAAGGAGATTGACACCAACATGAATGGCCAGGTGGAGCTCGATGAATATCTACAGGTGAGTGCATTTTAATCCGAGAAGTTTATTTTCCATCATGCATATATGTATATATATATATAAAGTCATTGCGGTAATAATTAGAATCACTCGGAATCACTCTTACAAATTGTTAAAATTATCATAGATATACATGCATACATGTATAACAGTCGTTAAATTGCAAGCCTCTTATGAAGAGGGACAAAGAACATTACTTATCACAAATTATTCTAAACATAGTGGAACAGAGTATGATTAATGTTAACATATATACTTTTAAATTGCACAGATGATGTCCGCGATTAAGACTGGCGACGTGGCCTATTCCCGTTTCGCTCGCATGGCTGAGCTAGAGGAGCAGAAGCACGAGGCGGCCAATCTGAAGCAGAAGATCAGCGTCGATCGTTCCGGCGGCGGATTGTAAACGACTTAATAGACAAGGACATCACGCGCACATCTACAAGCACATCTAAACTAGGAATAAGCCGCAACGAATTATATACAAACTATATAAACTGAACTTTACATTTTGCTGTTAATAAAGTCTTGAAACTCATCTCAGTGGGAAATCTCAATTGGTCCTTGACCGTGTGCCCCTTAGATAGGCAATGGTACAGCCAACAATGGCACTGGCACAAGCGGCTATCCCAATGGCGGTAGCACTTGGTCCCTCGTTCTGCTGCTGCTGCTGCTGCTGCCGTTGCTGCTGCTGCTGCTGCTGCCGCTGCTGCTGCTGCTGCTGCTGCTGCGTACAGCCAACAATGGCACCAATGGCACAAGCGGCTATCCCAATGGCGGTAGCACTTGGTCCCTCGTTCTGCTGCTGCTGCTGCTGCCGCTGCTGCTGCTGCTGCTGCTGCTGCTGTTGCTGCTGCTGCTGCTGCTGTTGCTGCTGCTGCTGCTGTTGCTGCTGCTGCGTGTCTACGTTTTCAAAAAAAGTTAGCTAATCAGTCTTATGCCTTGTGTCAATTGCAAACGTCTTACTGAATATCAATTTAATACAATTATCGATGTCCTTCGTCAAGTTGCCATCTGCACGCTCCAGCGTATAAATCACCCCTGTAATGCAGTTAAACATATCGTAGCGCTGGGTGTCGGTCAATGTGGCAAACAAATCCAGTTTAGGATCCCAGAAAAAAGGTAATTTTCCATTGTGGCCAGACGTGGCCAAAGATCTTTTCAGCTTTCCGAGCATCTAAATAATATTCATTCGAAAGAATAAAAAGAAAAAACATTTTTATTCAATTAATTAAAGCTCGAGGGCAACCGTCCGGCAGGTACCGTCCTTTGCGCAGAGCTGTTATTCCAATAATTTTAGGTTTTAATTTGAAATGAATATTTGATTTTGTTGACACTTACTTCTATTAGTACATCCTTAAGCTGAGAGGTTCTCCAATAATACGAGCCCTTTTCCTTAACTTGCCAAAGCAAAACAGTCTTTATGAAATAGCTTTTCATGTTGCTCATGTTTTGCTTGTTGTCACGAAACTTCTTCATAAATCTTATGACTTCCTTCAGCCTGTGTTTATCCTTGAGCATAACTAACTCGGAGTCATAGTACGAGGCACGGAACGAAACATTGTTCGGCTCGCTGGGCTTTAAAGGTTTCGGAATCGCCTCCCAAGACCCATTCTTAACAAAGTACTTAAGTTCCTCTTCACCCAAGATATTTTGGCTTGCATTTAGCTTAATGGCTGGCACAAAGTCCACAGAGTATTTGATATCCTTTGTGTCAATGAACATCGTGTGCGCCGGCCCACATCTCTTATATACCACTTCCGTGATATTACCATCCACATTAATCTTATTTTTCATGCTATTAAGCACCTTTTTCATAGCACTAGTGATCAAAGCCTGCAGCTTATCCTCCAAAAGCTCATTTTTCGATGAAACCAATTTGATCAAATGTGTATATGATACTCTATTGTGATCCTGATTCTGTAGGATTTTCAACACTTCCGTCATGTTTAAAATAACATTGCCAGGTCTACGGGGATCCTTTTTCACAATAATCCTATCGTTTTCGGGAAACTTCAAGTGAATTACCAAATCGAATTCATCAGGCTTTGTAATCTTCAAATTATCGCCATAACTTCCTGTTTTAGACAACAGAAGAATAAACAATAGCTATATTGATTGGAGCTGAGACAATTAAATGTACTTAAATCTTTATCATCGAGAATTACTCACATTGTATATTTATATGAACATATGTACATACATACATATGTATGTGTATCTGCCAAGAAAATTTATAGCAAATCTGTTCGCATTTTGCGATAGTTACTTAGCGCACCAATTCTTAGGGTTAAATCTGTTATCGGGTAAAGACCCGGTAATAAAAGTTCACACATACACATGCAAACAAAACAGCACAAGAACGTTCAACAATTGCAAGTATCATCCACATATGTATACATACATATCAACATGATCATACATACATGCATGTATGTATGTATGTATGAATCTATACACATCCGCAATAAATTTATGAGTTTTTAAGTTTGAATGCAGTTTTACGAATACATAACTGCATTAAAGACGCAGAAGACATTAAATGGCTCTCTCCCTGATTATGATATCACCTACCGCCCAGTTTGTGGCCACTTAGCCACTTGTCGAATGGCGACACCGCTTTAAGTCCTTTGTAGATAGTATCTCGCAGAACGTTGTAATGTCGTGTAAATTCTGAGCGATCACGATTAATATTTATGTGCTTTCCTTGAGCGTCATTCAAAAGTTGCTCCAGGAATGCCATACTCGACTACTTATTATTTTACTGATCTTAACGCGGCTAACACAAAAATCAAACTGAACTGAGTAACAGAATTTCACAATGAAGTGACTCTAATGGTAGACAATGCTCATGAAGGTTTGCACTCTCTGTGCGCGACTTCAATTGCTGAGACAGTGACGTCACATGCTTAACTATTTAATAAGATATCTATTTATTTTCGTTATTCCATTACAATAATTAGGTATAAATGAAAACATTTTATATAAATATGTATACATATAATCAAGCATTAAATTAAATTGTATATTTTAATGTTTTCTTTTCATGTGTGCAACAAATGGACAGCTCTGACTAAATACGCTTGTGTGCAATCTCTCTGCTTTTGATCCACTGCTGCCTAACAGAGGATGTACATATGTATGTGTTAAAGTATCTCCGGCTTTCTGTATGTGTATGGGTGAATATGTTGGTTTTGCTGCACGGAGAACAATATATTTTCGGAATTCCCCGTCATGTATGCAAGTACCATAAACATACATATATGTAAATATAAATCTGAAGTTATTCATATGCGTACATACACATGTGCATATGTATGTATCTATATTTGTGTATTTATTTTTATGTATGTATGAATGTATGAACATATGTATGTATGTACATGCTTCAATAATAATAGCAGAAATGCCTCAATGTTGTTGACATAACCAATCAATTTGATTAATTAAATTATTAAAAATTAAAAATAAACACCAATAATTCTTCGTATTATTTTATTTCAATATAGTATGTATGTATGTCCATACTATGTACATAGAACTTTAGTTATGTATGTACATACATATGTACGTCAGCTCTTTATGGCGCTCGTTATATGATTTCTTGGTGAAATGCGAGGATTGAAAATTGATTCGATGGTTACTTGACAGCCTGGAAAATAATAAAATTAATATTTGTTTATCCCAATATTCACAAACAAAACGCAATATCCCAAATATCATACCATTCTCTAGAAGAAACAAAGCGCGATCATACAGAATAATGGTTTCCACTGCAGAAAATAAACAAACATTAAAATCATAAATATTTATTTAAAAGGAAATTAAAATTTCAGTTGCCCAACCTAAGGGTGCTAGCATAAGCCGTAGGGTATAAAAACAGACGATACGACGCCAATGCAAAAGGTCTGCTTCGATTTGGCCTGGATTCGTTGCCTGTAGTGAGGCAAACTGCGTGCCTTCAATAGCTTTTTGAAAATAGCTGAAAAGGATTTTAATTTATGAATGTACCTAATACTACCCAATTGTGTTTCATCTTACTCGTTGAAGCTCATGCCAGGCACGTGTTTCACATTGCGCAACGCCGAATGTCTTAAGTCGGGCAAATGTTGAGCAATAATACGTTCGGCAGCTGCGCGTAGGGAATGAATCTTCAGATATTCATAGTCCCCAGATTGAAGGCGGCTGTTGTACAATTCCATGGCATGGCAAGCGATTTCACGTGCCTCATAGCTAAGTTGAGAGTTGTCAGCGCCCTGCAGCTGTGAGCTAAGTGGATAACCATGCAGCTTCATTTGTGGGTGCGTTGCTCGTGTGCTCATCTTTTGATAGCAGCAGCCCACGAAACTTAAAAATTTGGCTTGTTTACAACTTAAAAACATGCGCATTAGTGTGCCGCTCAGATCACCACATGGATGCAGCCCAATGATCCCAAAACTGAAATTAGAGTCCGACAATTGGAATGCCTGTCGAATACTCTCGATGAACTGTTCTGGCGTTGTGTCGCTGCTTAGGCGTTGAGTGAGATGCGCAGGTCGTTTAAAGTGGACTGTTTCGCAGGTATCTAAGTGTTTTGCAGCCATGCTCTCCAGCTTAGCATCGATTTCCAGTGCTTGTACATTGAGAGCTGCCTGCATTTCAAGACAACACACATTGATGCCATAGCCGTAGCCCAGTACGCGCGCCAAGTGTCCTACGCCGGCCCCAAAGTCAACGACAAACGAAATTGAGGTCTCTCGGCAGCTCCTCGCACAAATTGCAGCCATCCTTTTGATTTCATGCGATTTTTTCGGCTTCACACACTTCATGAACATGTGCTTCAGTTTACGGTGCTCCAGAAGCGGGCATGATGGCAATGTAACCTACAATGTGGTCTTCTGAGAATATGTCGAAACTTGATTGACTAGCTTACCAACATCGATGTGCTTCGTTGGACTTCTTCTGATGCATAGCGCCCGCAGCACTTGCCGTAGTGCCAGCAGTTCCAAAGGCCATAAAACACGTGCAACGCCATCACTGTGTTGCAGTAGCTCGCTCAGGTGTTCTACGGTTAGGTCTTCCAATTGTTCTCGCCAGCTTTGTGGTAGTTTGCTCCAGTGGTCATCCACATAAAAGTCCTGAAGTATTGTGAGGTTCACGTTATCTCAATTTTGGTTTAGTTTGGATAGCCTACCTACCAACACATAAGCGTCCAATAACCATTCGTATTTCTTAACAACATTTAAACAGGCAGAAAGTTTTTTGTTAATACTAATCATATTGGTTAGCTATAGCAACAGTGCCAAACTGCTGATTTCTTAATGGGCGCGAACGAAATTCTTTTAAAAGTATGTATTATTTTAATGCGCAAGCAGGTAAACAAACAGGGCTGCGTAAAATTATCAGTAAGTAATCGATAACTCAAAGTAAACGTATTTGATTTTTCAGTATTTTCGATTATCAGACAGAGCTTTCGATACTTCGTTTTCAACACTAAGTTGTCTACCAATAATAATAAAAGAAAACACGTCGGTCGGGCCTAATTGGCCATAAATATAATCAAAAAGAAAACAATAGAACGTAAGGTGCTACAAATTGAACAAATTAATTTGGAAGTGATGTATTAAAGAGAACTTGTGCCATTTATTTTCAAGTCCCCAAAGGGTGGAAACAGTTATACACAGATACATCCACACATATTGGCAGTGCCGTCAGCGAAAGCAAAGTGAAAATGCATCTGGAACCAACAAATGGCAATATTTGCAAGCAAATATGAAAGTAAACTGCCAATTGATGACACCGAGGCAATAAGCTGCGAAATCACAACAGTCGAGCAGGTCGACGGTCATACGGTGAGTGTATATAACTCTTCTGAAAATTTATATCCCCCAACAGAAAAATCAATAATGAGCGACGCAGCTGTCGCAATCGCTGCCGATTTGTTAATGACGCGGTCTGACTTTCTTCTGTGTGTATAGGTATATATTTTTCAAATATACAAATGAGGTGGGATTTTTGTTGTTGCAGGAATACCTGCTGCGCGTGCAGAGAGGTGATAAGTCCTGGAATGTTCTTCGCCGCTACAATGAATTTAACAATCTGCACAAATGTCTTCGTATCTCTGGCATTGAACTGCCGTTGCCTGGCAAACGCATCTTTGGTAATATGCGACCGGACTTCATAGCTGAACGGAAAGAAGCATTACAAGTTTACATAAACACAATACTAATGAATCCCATTTTGGCATCATCGCTGCCAGCCAAGCGTTTCGTTGATCCCGAAAGCTACTCGCAATCATTCCATGGTAAGCGGACATTTTGAACTTTAAGTTAAATCAACTAATTCTAAACTTAATTTCAGACCATGCAGTGCAAAATGCAATGCTCTGCCTACGCAACGATACGGTGTGGGCCCTGGGGCCCACCATGGGTGCCATAGGGTGGCGGCTGCGCAAGCATTACTTTAAGGTAACCACCAAGCCACCAGAGAAGGGTAGCAACAAGTTGGTTAAGAGTGGTTCACAGAATCAGCAAAGCAAACATTTTGCTGCTGGCAGCAATGGCGGTGGCCACTCGGTCTCGATAGACGCAGGTTCAGTGGATCCCAATGCGGAAATGGTAGCGGAGTGGCTGGAATACGGACCAGACAAGTACGTCGATGAGAAAGAAATGCATGGTGTGCTGAAGAGTCTAATGGGTCTTCAACATCCGCACATTGAGCCCGTTGTCTTTGCTGCACATACAGAGAACGGTTGCTTGGTCATCAGAAAGTAAGCACGTTTTAAAGCTGTTCATAGATATATTTCATGCCAAGACTTCTGCTCATCAGGTTTCATAAGCATGGCACTCTCAAGGACGTGCTTTGCATGGCCACGCCAAAGAATCCGTTTTTAAGCAAGTACGGCAATCCCAAGGGACGGACAGCACTCTCCATGAAGCAAGTAGCTACCTATGGCAAACAAATCTTAGAAGCTCTTATTTTCCTGCACTCAAAGGGCTATGCTTGTGGTAAGCTTTATTTAAAGTATATTAAAGGGAAACATATATGTATTATTTCTCTTATAGGTCACTTACATTCGGGAAATATTGTCATTGTGGATGACTGTGTTAAGCTGTTGGACATTGAGAACCACTTACTTGGTGTGCCTGCATTTTATCGTCCATTTTTCGTACAACACAGCAAGATTCATACAATTGAGACAATTGACGTCTACTGCTTTGGCCATGTTCTATTTGAGATGGCTATGGGTTATCCGCTGCAAGAGTCTGTTGTGCGTCAAATAACGGAGTGCCCAGAAGCGTTAAGTATGAATGCACCAATAGGCAATAAGTGTCTGAATGAGGCTAATGACATTTCTTAACTGTCAGAATCTTTGTTGGAGAGCATACTATCGAAAGAAGCATGCAAGGCCGGCCTGCCAACACTGGATCAATTGATAGGTCATCGATTTTTTACGCAATATGCAACAGAGAGTGCAGTCACATCCGAGAAGCCACATTTCAAGCTGTCTTTGGTAATACTTAATAGGATATATGATGATACAATTTCTACAGCATATTTTCTTCCTCACATTTACAGAACGCAAAGGAACTACTCAGGCAGGCTGCTGTTAAAAGCGAGACTCGTTTGCGTGATGAGCAAAAGTCCGTAAAGAACCAGAAGCGCATTGTGCGCGTGCAGGAGCTGATGAGTTCCGAGGAGGAAAAGCGCAAATCAAAGCAAAAAGCAGTTAGTAGCAATTACTATTGAGTACCATTTAATTACTTTTGAGTAGCTGTAGCCGTCGAACATCCGCTTATCAACACGTATTTCTTTTGTTGATTTCTTTTCTGTTATTGTAACCATTATTAGAAATTAGAGCACAAACAATCGAAGCTTAAGCAACAGGGCTCGCTCCAAACAAGCAATGGACGCTTGTCGCTGGCGGCAGTGACAGCTGCATCGACCAGCACAGTTGCTTCCGGCGGTGGGTTAAGCACAGCAGATTCATTCAACCGCTCTGACAGCACTCCCGAAGAACCCGCTCTGGCTGGCATCAAATGTAGATAAATTATCGCAAATTGAACGCACGAATGTCCTAAGTTAATTAATTATATTCCTTTAATGCTCACAGCACTCACGCCGGCATCGCAGTCACCACACCAGGAGATGCCAGCGAGCACCAATCTCGCCGTGGAGAGGCAGACTTCGACTCCAAATATTTCATCCGAGGATGTAGATGCTGGCGAAGATGAGCCGACGCGCTCAGCGTTGCTCGAGTCAATTTGCAAGTTCAATCGAGGCTCCCTGCGCAAAGTGCGCTCAAATGATTAGGAAAAACGCAAAGAATTTTACATATTTACATTTTGGACCAAATGTGGCGTTATGAAATAACGGTTCCATAATATTAAATGCAACAATGAAGAAGAAGAAAGAACAAATCAATTGAGAATAACCAAAAACAAAAAGATAGATACATTTTTAGAAACATGTAACAAGACATATTCGTAAACTATTTATTGGGCTACTTAAAGAATAACAAAAATGAAAGACAACAATCCACAAAATAGCTATAAGTGACTACATATATATATAATTATAAGTAATAACATATATATTTACTAACGAAACCCACTGAATCTGTGTCCACAACAAGTCTATCTATGCATAACGTATGAAAACTGTTTTATGAACTCAATTGATATGTACGTCTATATATTATATATCTATGTATGCAATTTACAAATCACACACGTCTGCGATACGAGGATGGCAAATGGTCAAGCGTACGCAACTAAAGCTTTACATATACATATACACGACCACTACACGACTGAAAATATCTTTGGTATGAGAATCTTGAATGCGAAACACGATTTCAAAGAAAAAAACAAAATCTATTGAGAAATTTTCCAAATGAATTATGTTAACTATAAGTCTGCACCAAAATCCGCACGAAGGCGCTCTACTACTAATACCCTACTGATTACTATCATTCATATATATGTGTATATTTATGCCATGTACTCAGTTCCTCCATGTTATGCGCTATACCTTTTGTTATTGCCATAACGGCCAAGGATTGAGAACGTAATTTCATTTCAAATGTATTATTATCATGCCAAAAGTTTTACTGTTATGTTTGTTTTTATTGGTGTTTATTCCAATGGTTTTGTTGTAGACATACTACTATTATTGATTATGTGTGTAATGGTAATCTCTGTAAATCAATTGATACATATGTCTTTAATGATTAGAAGAAATAAAAGAAATATGTAACAAGCGAATGCATAAATGCAAAGGCTATATTTATATATATGTATACTCCAACCATATTGAACAAACTCAAGAAACAATTGTAATTTGATATTGATGTGTATGTTTGTATTCATGTCTATGTGTTTTTTATGTAACTGACTGTGTATATGTTCATATATGTGTGTATACATACCAAAACTAATGCGAATTCAACGTGTAACGAAAACTATATATGATCCACATACTACTATATTATCTATACATATGAAAACCAAATAAAGTGTAAAGTATTTATCGTTGTAACTCAACGCCAATCTGTATATGGATGGTACTTGAAATCAGTTATCTTCATCATATTGCTTGATATCTTATATTAAACTGTTAACTGAACTTTGCTGATGATTAGGTTATTCTTCTAGTTGACTCACTTTTCCTTGGTCATACAGAAATAGTCCTGAAGTTAATGTTAAAAGAAATCCGCGTAATTTACTTTGAATCATTTTCGTATATTTAAGATTATATTTCGTATATGATGATGATTGTCATCAAATTAGACATTTCATGGTTTATTTTGTATATTAGTAAATAGACACTCCTTAGCATGGATAGACCTAATACCCAAGCGGGATTACAAAGGACATATAATGTTCATCTCCATCTCTGTTTGCTTACCCAGGCAATCTGTAGGTATAGCAATCAAATTAGTAACTGTATGCCAGACTATATCATTTATTATTTACCTCTAGTTGAATATATGTATAAGTATCCGTAAGAAACCGTCTGAGTCCGTAATGTTGATATGCTGCCAGGTCCGGGGCATCTGCCATTCGGGGGAAATAAACTAGTAAAAACGAAAGCTAACTGCGGCTAGGATTTGGCAGGTGGGCAAGGTCAGTTAAGCGAGTCGTGTTGTAGGACAATGTGTGCCAATTATTGATCCAACAGTCCGACCAAAACTCATATTGCCACGGCGACAGGACACTTCTATTATGCCGCAAATGCCATAATAAATGGTACAATAATCATTTGCGGTTTTATGACAACTCGCGACGCATTCAAGAGTCAAGAGTCAGCACTACGAAAATAGAAGGCGGCACGTCACGGGAAATGGCCAGCGCGGCGAAGAACTGGTCGGGCCTGGTTACGCTGTGCCTGGGTCAGGAGCGCGAGAAGGTACTCCGATTGATTTTGTGTGATATTACAGGGGCTCATAAAATTCGGATACTTTATGTTTATTTAATAAGCGGTAATGTTTCCAAAATGCTCCGAATCGAATCAAGTATCCAAAATTTGTGAAAGTCACGCATATGGGTTACGATAGCTGCCTGGCTAGGTGGTTGGGTGTTAGGTGGTAAAGTGGGAGTGGGTGTGAATCCACAACGAGTATGGAACATGTAATGCAATACATTCTGATTCGACACTTTCGTTTTGTCACCATGCAGCGGCAGGTGAGCAGCCAGCGCACATCCCTCACCAAGTCCAATGGGGTCGGCGCCCTGGGTGTCCCACCAAAGGTAAGCGGTTCACGTGTCCGTGTGTCCACTTTATTATTGTTATTGTTATCCTTACTGTTGTAGCCGATTATACAATATCTGCCTAGCTATCGCATGGAGCCCAGGAATCCATTGAATAAGGAACGGTTGGAGCTCACCATCTGGCGGCTCAAGTCAGCGAAGAGATCAAGAACAGCATCAAGCTCATGAATTTCGATAGGTGGGTGGCTCTATTCCATTTGGTATCATACCTTGCCTAATCCCATTGCCTGCTCAGATACCGTTATATAGTGTTGGTTACCGTTGGAGAGCTGCTCATGCAGGGCCTCTGCTCCATGGTCAATTTTCTGTGGGATGCCGAGAAGGACGGTTTTGTCACCTACTCCATCAAGACACCCAAATTCATAGCCGTCTGCACCATATTCTATTTGTATTACGACTGAGTGCGTGCCTAAAATCAAAATTCATGAAAATAATAAAAGAAAGATCAGCGAAAAATAATTAATTAATAGGAGAAGCAAGGGAAACGGGAAGGAAAACGGATAAATGGGGATAAAGAATAAAGAGAAATATAGAAAGAATAGTGAAAGTCTTACAGCTTCGATTTGATGCCAACTGCTCGATCTGTGAAGGAAATGGGGAATATATATAAATATAGTGTAGTGCTTTACGAATTGCCACTAATTCACTTTGTCGCACAATTTGATTCGATTTGATTTTTGAAACCACTTAAAGAACTAACAAGCACTCGTTAAATAAATCACAACATATTTTGAATTAGGTTTTCCGTTTGTTCATTTTTATTTGAATATCAGTTAAAGAGTTATATATATAATAGATATATAATATGGTGAAGCATAATTTCATTAATTTCATCTCGACACAAAAACCAAACTAAATTTATTAAACTTTTTCTAAATTTGGTTTCTTTTGCTTTTTGTAATTCCAATAGATAAATGTCTCAACATTTGAATTAATTAGTTAAAGTATTCATATAATATTTGTTGATAACATATATATATTTGTGGATATCTGGATATTATATATTGGCCACACACATGCACAGACACAGACACACACACACATACACACACGCATCTATAGATTGAGAGACATATCATTTATCTGTACGACACTTCAACTCACATAAGAAATTTGCATGGATTTCATATAGTATATATGCATATATATATAGATATACACATACGTATATAGACACAGAACTTGTTGGAGAGCAACCCATAAGAGAACCAATGTAACATTTGCCAAACCCATTTCAACAATTCAAACATTTTGAAACAAATGCTACACGACGTTCTCTCTCCGGATGGAACTGATCAAACGAACGAACGAACGATTGGAACAGAGATATTCCAAAAATATCCAAACTTGAAACAGCTCACTGCACAATGTATGATATTGGGAGGCCGAAACAGGGCACAGTTCAGACACTTTATAAACACTCGATCCATAGTTATATATAATTATATATAAAAATAATATGGAAGGAAACTCAATTACTTGGGGCAGCAACCAAAGGACAGAACTCCAATCAAATCACTTTTTATATATAGTAGGCCCATATATGTACAAATGTATATGTATATATTATGAATATTACTAGAATTTCAGATGGGAGTAAGCACTTTGTCTTTAGCACTATTTTTGTTCACAAAAACCAGAACTTTGCATCATAAACAACTCTCATTAACCAAATCATAATTGCATAAAAATGATTCGAACTATTTAACACAAAAGAGTTAACACAAAAACTGATCAACATATTTGTTTTCTTTCTTTTGGATTGGGTTTTGATTTTGGATTTTTCATTAAAACTTTTTCTTGTTGTTGATTTTTGCACTAATTGCACATTTAAAAATAAATTGGATACAGAACATTTTGTATTTGCTTTTCTTTTTTTTTTTGTATGGAATGAGAAATCTTTACACTGTGAAAATAATTGAAATCAAAAATACAGTAAATAGTTATCAACAATTCAAAACTTTTTGCACAATTGTAATTAAAAAAAATTAATTTAGGTTGAACTTTTGTTTTGTTGTTTGATTGAACGGTTAAGAAACTTTTACACTCTCACTACACAAGGAATCAGAATCGTGTGTAAAGCATAACAACCATAAATAATATTATTTCTGTGATTGCTTGAGTGGGTCTGTAAAAAGAATAATAATAATATTTGGATTAATGCGTATTCATGTACATGCAATAAAAATATATATAGGGTATATATATTATAATTGTGTGTGCATGTCTGCTTCTTCTTCTTCTCATGCTTCTGCTGCTGCTGTTGTCACTGGCTTCTGTTAGAGGTAACTCCAATTGTCTATTGATTGAATTATGCTTCTACCAATACACACACGAGCATACTTGTGTATGTATATACTTTTCATTTGTGTAAGTCTACATCTATGTTACGTGGCAACAAATCTCTTTTGGATTATGTGCCTGCCCAGCACTGCGAGCGATAGCCACCCGGTCGATGGGTTGCTTAGTTTGCACACAGTTTGTCCATTGTTTAGGCGGTACCGCCGCGCACAACCACAATAACCAGATGATCCTCCTTGAGACCCTCCTCGGTAAGACTGTGGCATGTACGCTTCAAGAGGTCCGTGGAGAAGTCGCACGGTGGGAATGCATAGAGCACGCCCGTGGCCTCGGTCTCCTTGTTCAACAGCGATATAACTCCAGCCGCTTCCTTTTGCTTTAAATAGGAGACGAGATTGCGTAACGGACGCGTCTGCACGCTAGCATCGTCGCAATCGGTATCCACTGTGGAGCCAGCCAGACCCAAGAATATGGCATGCGATGACGAGGATGCAATGCGTTTCTGTACATCCTCCAGCTTAGGAGGATCCAGTCGCAATCTTTGTGTTATGCGCAAATTGTGCTTGCCCTCCTCATCACGCATCAATGATTCCACAATGTCTGTGTCGCCGTCTGTCAGATGAAACTTGGCCGGGAATAAGGAACTCTTCAGTATGAGTGCGCCTGTCCAAATTGTGCTGCACTTGCGCGCTACATCGAGCACTGTGGCTGCCGAGCTGAGGGCATCGTTGCGCCGCGTCGAGGTGTCTGAATCAGAGCCCGGTGAGCGTTTCAATGGTGATCGCGACCGCGATCGTTCGACACCGGGTTCACGTGAACCGGAACGGGTCCGTTCATACGATTCTCCAGGCGGACGACGCCATTCATCATCAGCACCGCCAGGTGGCGGCACCGACGACACCCCACCCATGGCACTCGGATGAGGTGGTCTGTGCACATCATTGTGATAGTGATACATGCCGCGACCACGTCCGCGATAACCGCCACCGCGTCCACGATAGCCGCCACGAGGTGGATATGGCGAATAGCCACCACGTGGAGCATACACAGCCGCCTCCTCATAATAGGGATCGTACTCGGGTCTCCTATACTCGATGGCAGTCTCATCGTATGCCGGCTTCGACGTCTTGAAAGGAGCTGCTGGCGTAGTTCCAGGCAGCTCCGCAAAGTCAGTGCGCAACCTGCGCTCGGGGCCGCCAAGAGGGAAGCCACGCATCTCCTTGACTGCCGCCGTGGCAGCCTCCACTGTCTCGTATTGTATGTAGGCATACGGCTCACCCTTCTGGTACTCAATCTTCTTGATGGCACCAAAGCGATCAAACTCACGCTCCAGCTGTGTCACCGATGTCCAAGCGCCGAGACCACCGATCCAGATTCTTGTGGCCGGCGTTACTTTGCCATAACCAATCTTGCATTGGAACTTGCCTATATACTGGCCAGACAGTTCGATTTTGGCACGATGAGCCATGTCAAGATTCTGATAGCGCACAAAGGCGAACGCGTTGCCGGTGCCAGGCGGCGGTCTCTTTATATCAATGTCATCCACTACGCCATATTTACCAAAAATACGGCGAAGCTCGTCATCAGCAATGGTCACTTCCAGGTTGCCAGCGAACAGTGTGCGTGTGGACAGTGGATCATCTTCTGGCTGCACATGATGCAAATAGTTGGGAAACTTATCCTTTTTGCTTTCTGGCTTCTCGTACGGCACATGTGGCCGCGGGGCCATTGGACGCATCGGTGCATATTGATGAGGCGGTGGATGGCCGTGCATATGATGAGGATGCGCGTGAGGATGACCACGGTGTATTGGCGGACCGCGAGGTGGATGTGGGTACTCATGGTGCATGGGTCGATATTCACGTGGGTGCACAGAATGCGGATGAATGGGTGGACCATAACGGTCATAGGGATCAATTGGAGGCCGACGATGGTCCAATGGCACACCGGGTCCCATGGGCGAACGCGAATAATGGTACCGTTCATAGTCGGGGGGCGACATCGAGTGCCGGGGCCTATAAATTCAATATCCCGGTGTGACTACATGTCATAACCTTTAGGTAAAAGTCAATAGATTACACACCTGTATTCCGGCCGTGTCGTCGACTTATAAACTGGCTCAACAATTGCCATTTTATCGTAAATGATCAGACGAGGCTTGTGATGCTTGGCTTCACGTGCATCCTCCGGCGTGCGAAAGCACACGTAGGCAACACGTTCGTCCAGATCGTGCGCAAGTCGCACACTGAAATCCCCAAATTTCTTGTATTCACGGTAGAGTGTCTCTTCGATGAACTCGTCAGGTGCCTTTGGAGGCAAAGCACTCACACAGAGAACTTTGTAGCCAGCGGGACGCTCTGCAGCAGGCGGACCACGCATATAAGGCTCTCGATGCGGAGAGCCATAACGACCGCGCGGGCTTGGCGAACGGTCCAAACGGCGACGCATACGTTCCGGTGACATCCGTTCCGGTGAATCACCCGGCACACCTCCTCCATTATCGTAGCCACGGCCCATGCTGCGCGAATTTCTTACTAGGTTTCCTCTGCCTGGTGAGCGAGATGCGCTACGTTTCATATTGTGAATTTTGACAGTTATTCGATCAAGTTCAGCTCCTTCTCTATGAATACTCATGAGCAGGAGCGGAAGCTTTTTGTTATACCTTAGCCTTTTTCTTGTGACGAAGTCTGTGGAAAGTATATAAAAATATTGAAGTTACAAAAGTTGTGCAGTTCATTACATACAGTTGTTTGCAATTACACATTTGTATAGTACGTACACACTTACACTTACATACATACGGTGAAAGAAAAACTGAATGCAAATGAAAAAAAAAATGGCGGCGCGACTTAAGCGTCGAGGATTGGGACAGGTAAAACGAAAAATAAAATCTACAAAAATGTACGCGTTTACATAACTATAACACAGCTTACTGTTACTTACCACCAACTTATTGTTCGATTTGTGATGTGCTACACCTTTTTTTAATTATTTCTTTTATGCAGTGACACTAAGAACTCACACACTCCGCGGCTCGCAATTTATGTATTCGTCGAAAAAGTGTGGCGACAAGATGATACAGCAAAAATATCGATACCGTCTATGTTTCGCTGAATTATCGATACCATGGCGAAATTAACTTGAAAATGGATGTTTTAACCTACATTTTTACTTGATATATAAATATTGGAAATCAAATTACAAATCACAAGTCTAAATATGTATGTATGTGTATAATCTTGTATTGTTAAGTTTGTAGCTTTGTTTGTGATCATGTGGCGATACTACTCACTTGGCTATTGTGAATTGGGAATTAAAATTCGATTAAACAATGAAATTCGTAGCAAAACAAATGCAAAAGAAAAGCCGGCGAGGTTTTCAAAAAGTTCATTGTAATAAGCATGGCAAGACCAAATGTTGCTGGTTCTGGATAAGGCTTAGTCCAAACGGATTAAGCGACTTTAATTTTGTAACCGCGAGTGTTTAAAATTGACCGAAGTTAACAGCCAAAGAGAAAGAGAATAAAGTTAAAATAGGTAACGTTCATATAACATGCATACATATGTCGTTTTATTCCGAGTGCCAGCTGTGCAGGTATAAAAATAATTCCTCTCCGCATTTTTATGGCGGTAATTAAATGCACTACCTGTGAATTCCGATGCTGAACAGCTGTTTTCCTGGATAAACACAGATTGTACATATGTAAATCCATGCATGCTTGTATGTGTGTGCGCGCCTGTATGCAGGCATCTATGGGAGTGTGAGAAGGCTAATCCGCTCGCTTTTTATAGCTCTTGCTCGCACACTTGTAAATATATTCTCAGTAGTTGACGATAACGAAATACATGTCTCTCCCAAATGGAAATATACATATAGAGTTTTGTATTCGCTTAAATGGCAAGTGCACTCTCGTTTCTTAGGCATTTAATGTTTAACAATGGCTGCGAAAGGAACAGATACTGAACGCGTCTCGGAGAACAGTTGTTGCGCTGGCAACGGAGCGAAAGATCAGGCGCGCTATGATCACTACCGGATATATAATGTCCAGTTTGATAACGAGGAGCAAATCAAATTGTTCCAAAAACTTGAGGAGCAGAGCGATAGCCTCACCTTCATTGGCCACGCACGCGAAATCGGGCAAAAACTTTCAATATTGGTGGCAGCTCATCGCGTAGCAGACTTTGCAGACTTGCTGGAGACTTATAAGCTAAAACATCGAGTTTTGGTATGTGCTGGAATATATTCAAAATAATATTTTCATATAGTAATATATTGTTTATATTGCAGACATACAATTTCCAGGAGAAAATTGATCGCAATATGGGCGAAGTAGTGCCAGAGGATGTCGATGCCTCAAAATTGGACTGGCAGCATTTTTTCCACTTAAAAACAATCTACAGTTGGCTGGATCGCATGACTGCTAAGTATCCCGATCAGTTGAATGTACTAAATATGGGCACCAGCACCCAGGGAAATGACATTAAGGGCGTTAAAGTGGGCAACAATCCGTCGAATAAGGCAATTTTTATTGAGAGCGGCATCCATGCACGCGAGTGGATCGCCCCTGCCACAGCCACCTACATTATCAACGAGCTGTTGAGCTCGACAGATGAGCGCATTCAGAGCTTGGCCAAGAACTACAATTGGTTCATCTTTCCGTGTGTCAATCCCGATGGCTATAAATATACATTTGAGCATGATCGCATGTGGCGCAAAAATCGCCAGTTATTCGGCACCTGTAGGGGAGTTGACCTGAACCGCAACTATCCCGATCATTGGAACTCTACGGGCTCCAGCAGTGATCCCACTCGATATGATTTCGCTGGGCCCAGCGCAGCAAGCGAAGTGGAGACGCAGCGTCTGATTGAGTTTATACGCAATAATGTTGAAAAGGAACAGATCAAGACGTACATTTCCCTACACTCTTACTCACAGATGCTCATGTTCCCATATGGCTACACCAAAGAGCATGTGTCCAACTATGACGATCTGCAGGAATTTGGAAAAAAAGCATCGGCTGCCATCAAGGCGGAGAGTGGACGAGACTACGTAAGTGGCAATCTGTATGAGACCATTTATCCATCAAGCGGTGGTAGTATGGATTGGGCTCATGCTGAAGCTGGCATACCAATTGCCTACACATTTGAGCTACGTGGCCCACCCGATAGCCAGGATCTATTCATTCTACCCGCGGTGGAAATACAGCCAACGGCCAGTGAAGCACTTACAGCGATTCGCACCATAGTTGAGGCTGCTGCTGAGAAAGGCTACTACAAGTGAATGATTTGCACATTATATAAATAACTATATTATAAAAGAACTTGACGTATAACGATATAGGGTACTAAGAAAATGGTTTTACAAGCGATATAATCTAAAATAAATTCACATGTTTTACTGTTATGATAAGAAAAACTTATTGTTTGCGTTCTTATATATGTATATATGTACATATAAAATCCAGTTAAGTAAACAATCGCCTTGGCGTTAAATTCATATACATACATATGTATATATTTGCATACATAAAGACTTAAATATATACATATTTAATAGCAAAGTGATTTTCTTGTCTCGTAAATGGTCCTTGGCTTAAACCTTAAACCTGCTATTTTAATTAAAAGAAGTCTGGAGCCAGTCAAAATAACAATTTTTTGACAACCGCTTTACCAGCTTCATCTTCGAAGTGTCCTTAGACCGCTGCTACAAACGCGCTGTCATTTCTTGATCTTCCATTTCTTTGGTAAGTTACAGTGTCCCCACATTTTTTCGTATAAAATGGCCAACGCCCGACCACAAGCCAAAGGCATATGCGCAATGGGAATCTTCCTTGTCGTAAAAGGCCAAACCCTTTCTAACCAAGATGGCAATAAACAGACGTAGAGTCTAAAGAAATTATCGTACATACATGTACATACTGTATAAACTACAAAAATATTGTTTATAATCATTTAAATAGTCCGGGGGAAATACTGTCAGGAATATTCTTCAAAATAAAGAAAATCTACATTGATAAGCATTTATCGTAATCGTATTTCGGATATTTTGCATTGATAAATCGAAATACAATTTCGACTACAGGTTTGGTATTTTTCAATTGTATTCAGTGTATTTTTCACGTTGGCCGCTCGCGGTCACACTGTACACATCCCTATAGGTCTCGGCAGAAACATATAGATTTTTTTTATTAAACACTCACTAAATTAAACTATAAAAAGACGCCGAAGTAGTTACGTTTTTTATTGCTGTAACGTAGAATAAGACGCATCGCTTTCTTTGCAACGTGTACGGTGTAGGGTAAGCCCGAGCAAGCCAAAAGTGAAAGTCCCAGAAAAAGTACAAAAAGAGAGATAGAGTGACAGAGTGTGAAAGAGAGAGATAGAGATATATAGCGAGAGAGAGAGAGAGTGAGCGAGAACGGTGGAAAAGAGCCAGAGTCTGGGTGAGAGAAAAACGATTTTTTCAGAGAACAACGCGGATTTTCGTATTTGCTGTGGACGGGGAAACGTGTGTGTGAATTGAGCAGAACCTGGTGAGTACATTTTCTGCCTGCCTGCCTGTTTGCAATTGGTATTTTTGTATGTTGTTGTATTTGCATTTTCAATTGAAGCCGAAAATAATTTGAAAGCAGAAGCAAAACCGAAACGCAACGGCGCCAATATATAGCAAAACGAAACAAGCAAAAATATTAATAATATTAAAGAAAAGAAACAAGAAACAGCAGCAACAACAACATCAACAACGGCAACGGCAACAACAACAATAATAATAACCATAGAAAATAACGAGAAAAGTCAGCGCGCTGCCGAAGACCGTCAAAATTCTCAGCCACAGCCAGCACACACCACCTTACAGCACCTGCACCCTATTAGCTGCCACCACGCTCCACCACAAACAACCAGCCATAATGTTCGTCAATTCGATGACGTTCCGTGGAAATCCGGCTAATTATCACCAGCAGCAGCCGGCGCTCAACCATCATACGCTGGCTGCCGCCGCTGCCCATCATCAGCAGCAGCTGCACCATCATGCTGCAGCAACTGGGCACCTGGGCCATGGCGTTGGCGGCGGTCATGCGGCTAGCAATCATTTGGCTGCTGCTGCTGTGCTGGGACGGCATGGACATAATTCCTTGAATGCCGGGCACACGTCCAGTTCGTCGCACTCGAGCGGTGCACTGGCTAGTGGTAGCAGCGGCAGCAGCAATAGTTCGCCGGATAGCGGAAAAATTTACATCAAGAATCTGGAGCGTTCGATTGACAACAAGGCGGTGTACGATACGTTTTCGGCCTTTGGCAACATTTTGAACTGTAATGTGGCTAAGGATGAGGATGGCAACTCCCGTGGCTATGGCTTTGTGCACTTCGATTCGGAGGAAGCCGCCCGGGCGGCCATTGAAAAGGTCAATGGAATGCTATGCAATAATCAGAAGGTTCATGTGGTCAAGTTTATACCGCGACGAGACCGCGAGCAGGAGAAGGCAACCCATTTTAAGAATCTATACGTGAAGAATCTCAGCGAGGAGTTCACCGAGCAGCATTTGCGAGAAATGTTCGAGCCCTATGGCCGCATTACCAGTCACAAGGTGCGTCTATTCTAATGTTGTTTGTTCACTTCTCTTTTTTTTGTGAATATATTTTAGGGCAGGCAGGCAGGCCAATGCCGGGGCGGTGGCGGGAGAATAGGGGAGTATGAGTGAGAGCTGGAGCTGCAGATAAACCATGTGGCACACTTTGTCATCTCTTAAGAAAACGCCACTCACAGCACTCTCTCTCACACTCTCGCTCTCGCTCTTAGCCCGCGCTGCGGCCAACTGGTGCGCATGCCCGCCCTAAAGAATTAACTAACTGATTGTCGTCGTCCCGCTTCAAAGTTTCGCTGCAACGGGGCAGCAGTGGCAGCCGCAGCAAGCGATTGTTGTTGTCATTATAATTGCTATTATTAATTCGAAATTCATTTACAGTTGATGCTGGATGAAGAGGGACGTTCGCGCCGTTTTGGATTCGTAGCATTCGAGAGTCCACAATCGGCGCTGGCCGCCGTCATTGGGCTGCACGGCAAGCAGCTGGGCGACAACAAATTCTTATATGTGGCACGAGCACTCAGCAAAGCTGAGCGGCAGCAGGAAATCAACCGCAAGCTGGAGGAGCGCAAACGTCAGAAGGCCGGCCAGATATTTTATTACTAAAAATTGGTAACGGAATGGACGGATCTAAACGCTTTTGCGTCCGATGCGAGAGTAACAAGATTATATAGAATCCCCCTCCAACCCCTCACACGTAACAAACAATATACACACAACATACCAATATCTGATATATATGTATATGTATAAAGACATGTATACATATATATTAGAGATATTTACGAGAAATTGTATTCTGCATCAAGCAAAAACTTAAAAACAAAATGCAATACAAGGCAAGCACAGAAGAGACAACCCACACACACACACATTTAGGTGTAGGCAACAGACACACATACTCTTGAGAGATCTGCTAACGCAGAATTATCCAAATCCAAATGCAAATGGAAAATAAGGAATTCACATACATAGATTTCCGAATATTAATACCTAATATGAAATCTACTACAACAAATTGAAAAACAAAAAAAATAACAAAAACAAAACAAAAAAATGAGAAAGGAAAAAAAATAATAATTCGCTAGATTTTCTTTAACTTTCTTTCGATTAGATGTTTGTCTCTTGTTGAATTTAAAGAGCAGAAGCCCCAAAAAATAAATAAAACGTAAAATTAAACAAAGATAAACAGCTTCTAGCTTCACGAACAGAATGCGTACGCAAATGTCTAAATATATTAAAATTACTAAAAAAAAAAAAAACAAAACAAAAAATTCTAGACAAGCGTCGAAACAAATATATAGCTACCATGTCGCGGAGTCATGGGCAAATATTGAATATTTACACACATACTATATATATTAAACCACACTACACGATTGCTGTAAAATTCTATAAACAATTAAAGCACCCACTTTACGTATATAAAGGAAACAAAAAACCTAAAAAAAAAAAGAAAAAAAAATATATATTACACGCTGTAGCTTAAAAGCGTTTATAATAATACTCACACATACACACGCCCACACACACATCCTAACTAACGCTAATTAAAAAAAAAAAAAAACAACAAAATACAAAAAATAAAAGAGAAGAGATTTGAGGAAACCTTAAAGAAAAAATATGGGAGCACGAGGGAAACTCTTGTGTGCAATTGCAATTTACAATGGGAAAAAGAGTATTAAATTAAATTTGTAACAATTACAGAACATTTTTGTAATTTATTGTAAATTGTTTAAAAGTAGCTAACAACATATTGAACACCAGACAGCAACAAAAACTGTAAACGATATAATTTCAAAAATCGAAATAAATGATTGTACGTGTAACACACACACACAAATGCTTACAACATTTTAGAAAAAACATACTCTCAATTATAAAAAAGAGAAAAATATTGAAGTAATGAAAAAGAAAATAAAAAGCGTGTAAACAAGCTCGACACATTTTCAAATAAACCGGAAAAAGAGCAAAATGGCAATGGCAAATTATACAATATATATTTTAAGATTATTGAGCTTAATTTTTAAACATGTTTCAAAAAGATGAAGAAATTCAAAACAAATTCCCACATAAAATAACTAAACACACAAACCATTTGTATAGTTAAAAATGAAAGAAAATAAGAGCTGACAACGGCAAAAACAAAACAAAAACAATTGAAATATAGTAATTAAATGAAACGCGAAACCTTAAGAATTGCATAAATACACACTCACATTTACAATAATTTATTATGTAACGATTAATTTTAAATTTCCGTTTCGAGTTTAAAATAGAAAAGGGAAAATGATAATGAGTAAAGCGTTGCTAACAATTTTTGTCAGCTAAGTAGAGCTAAACATATAAAAAAGAAAATTTATGATTTACAGGAAATTGATAGTATTAGTATATACACACACACACGCAATATGAATTTAGAGAAGAGTAAACAAAAACAAAAGCAAAAAAATATTAATGCAAAATGTACAAAAAACAAAAACAAAATGAATATGAAACTTTTCGTTTGCATAGCAAATGCGACATATGTGTATTTTTATCATTAATTGTAATAAAACCAAAACTTAATTGCTTTTGCAGAATTTAACTTAAAAAGAAAATCAAGAATAGGATGATGAAAACAAAAATCCCCAAAAGAAAATCAATGATGAATAGTATGAGTAAAAAAAAAAAACAAAAACAAAATGAAAATGAAAACCTTGAAATATATAACCTTTTATAGTACTAAATTTTTAGCCAGTACGAATTAAAAACAAAAAGAAAAGAATAGAAAACAAAATGCAAGTTTACAAGGCAAAACTCGAACAAAAAGAAAAACAAAAGAAAAAACCCATTAAACAAATGAAACTGAATTCAAAATTTATAATAAATACTCGATTTTGCACATTTTTGCTAAATGAGAAATTAATTACATAAATAAAAATTATGTACTATTTTTTTTTAATATAATTTTTTTTTAGACCCAAGCTACACACACACACCTTATACACACATATATATAACAGGCGTATATATATATATATATATATTTATATGTATATATATATATATATAAATGTAATTCCATTAAAAAAAAAAAGAAAAACTCCTAATTATAAACATATAGAAATGAAAAGGAAAAATACCTACTTATTAAAACCCAAGACGATATATAAAAATTCATGATGATGCAGAATCATCAAAGAAAACAAGTAAATTGCAGTAAAAAATATGAGAAATTTGAATAAAAATGCTTTTGCAAAAAGTGTTTAAAATTGAGCAAATTTGTTGTATTCAATTTAAATTAATAACAAATAGCAAATACTTAAACAGTTAACATAAATTTTAAAAGAAACGCCCCAAGACGACAAAGAACACACACAAGCACATGCACAACATGAATTAAGATCGTTGGATTAATTATTCGTCATCAATTATCTCTATATCGCTATTGGGGGATTTCAATTCTTCGATTTCGTCCTGCAAATCCTCGATTTGCTCCTCATATTTGCGCTTGATGGAAGCAATCTATGTGATTTAAATATACAGGATATGTAAGAATCAATATATAAGAATCAATATGCGTAGTATGATGAGTGGGACAAACCTTCGCCTCGAATTCCCGATTAAGCATAGCGATCTTCCTCTCCTGCCGCTCCTCGCACTGCTTCAGATTCGTTTGTATGCTCGCCTCGAATGTGTCGGTCAGCTCCTTGCGCAGCTTCTCCTCCTGCAGCTGAAGCTTCAGCACAATGTCATAGTTCAGCCGTTCGACCTCAGCACGCAGACTGTCAAGTAATATATAATTATTATTAGTTATAATGTCAGTTAACATCCATCTACTTTACCTAATGTTCTGAGCTTCCAGTTCTTCGATGTATTGCCTGTCGCGCGAGTCTCCAGTCGAGCTGTACTCGGCGAATAGCGAATAGCGCGTGTTGTGTTGCTTCACCAACTGCTGCTTAAATAATATATTCTTCGCTATCGAGGCAAAGCTGAGCACATTTAGATTCTCTTCGTAATATTTATCGAGCGGCGTTACTGTGACAATCATGGCCAAGCGCTCCTTGCCCAGCAGAGCGGCCTGCAGCAGCATCGTCAGCTTCGAGTCCCGATATGGAATGACATCAGCATTGGCCTTCTTCTTTGTTGAGCTGGCCGCGTCCAGGCAACGACCCAACACCATAAGCGACGTGTTGATGCTTTGTGCCTCTTTTAAACGGGATCCGATCGTGCCCGTTTTGTCCACACGCTCTGAGCCGGCAAGATCGCAGAATTTGTATGAGTTTTGAGTGGTCATGCCCGTCCGATGGTATTTCAGTACGTCCACCGTGAAGACGCAATGCGAACGACTCGAGTTGGCATTAACTGCCGTGGAAGCGTACGTCAGACGTTGCTGTCCCAACCGTAGTAGCTTCAGAGCTTCCTCGCTGCTTCTCACAAATATACTAGTCAGGCCCTTGATGAAGACTTGGCCCTTGTTGCAAACGATCTTTAGATTTTTCCGCCGAGCCTCCATATTTTGCTGACGTGGAGGTAAAGTCAACAGATCGTAGACGAGCTCATTGTATATTTCGACAAATGACACCCAAATCATGACGGACACTTCTTCGGCTGGCTTCTCTTCGAATTCATGATCGCCATGGATTACTTGCTTTAGGCGCTGGTGTTGAGCCTGCATATCCGGGCACAGCGCCAACAACTGTCGACGTATTTGCATTTCCTTCATAGTAACATCGTCTTCCAGGATTACCATGCGCGCATTAACAAGCTTCAGCTTGGCTGCCATATACACCTGCTTATTGTACAGAGTAAAGATATGTTCCAGAGCGCGTGGAATAATGCCGGCCCTAACACTGTCACCTAGTTTAGCGAATCAAACTTAACGTGAATGCCGATTATGAGTGATAAGAGGGTTTCTGATTACATACCAAGCAACGTATAGGTTTTACCCGATCCAGATGTACCATAAGCCATGATAGTAACGCACTCCTCGTCTATAATGCGTGGACCCACGCATTTGTCGTATATATCCCGCTGACCAACTTGGCTATCAAATATGTTGGTGAAGCTGTAGTGTTTTTCCATGCGGTTCACGTTGTTGCTGCTGTTCTCGTTGGAGGCGGCGCTAGTGATCAACACATTTCCACACTCGGAGATAATATACAATTTGGATGGAGATTCCACAGGTCGCAGGCGTAGAAATACCTGTGGCCCTGTCTCCATTTCGCTATCTATTGAGCTGCCACCCTCATCCCCGGTTTTCGTGTACTCCGATTCTGTGTCTGAGCAATCGGTGGAGCTATCGCTGGTTTCAAGGAGCACCTCATCGAAGAGTCGCAGTTGTTTGTTGGGGCGAGGACGAAAACGACGATCGATGCTAGGATCCCGTGGCATTAAAAAAGAGCGCATTTCGCGCTTGCTAACCTCTTCTCTCTCCATTGGTTTGCGCACTGGTATCCTTTAATGTTTTTAATTTAATGTGGTCGTCACTTTTGGCGGTTTGACTTAAAGACGCTTGTTTACGAGTTGCCAACTTTTTTAAACCTATGCTCACTTTGCCAACTATTTCGAAGCTAGAGCTGGCGAGTAGAAAGTATCGAGTAATTTTTCTACCGGTCGAAAGCAATACTATCAATAAATCGAGTGTTTACGAATACCGCCAATATATCGAATAATTTCACAAAGGTGGCAGCTCTAATAACACGAGTGTACAAAACATAAACATTATAAAGGCGGGATCTCTTGTTTATATAAATAAATAGACTTTGATATGAGTAAGAAGACAACACGATCCGTAAAACCCAAGGTTGACCCAGATGCGGCGCCTCAGCAAAAAGCGTGTGCTATCAAGAAAGTCTTCTACATATCCGAAAAGTTACTTAATACCGATGACGATCAGCGAATGTGTTTGGAGCGATTTTATCATCCCGGTAAGGGGCAACCGGCTTTGTTTATAACGTTGCACGAACGGCAAATAATGGAGGTGCTCGAGTACGCAGAGCCACGACGCAGTTGGCTACTAAATAGTGAAGTCTGCTCCAATGGACGCACGTATATGACGACGCCAATAGACCCAACGTTTCTTGCACTGCATCATCTCCGGAAGCACTGTGCCCAGCGTGCAATGTCTCTGGACAGCATTAGCGTAGATGAGGCGGACTCTAGCACAAACCGCCTGTTAACCAAATTCATAGACGCTGACAGTCTAAAAAGCGTGGCCGATGTTAAGACATCTGGGGAGCTTGTCTTCTACAAATACAACAAAGATCGAACTTTGGCGTGGCTTGCTCTGAAAACACGACAGGTTGTGTCTGTTCTCAAGGCAAAGCAAGTCCATTGCGGCTTGGGTGCCAAGTCGCAGAACTTTGTTCGCAGCGAAAAGATTGTGGACGATAATGATGTCAAGGAGGTGGATTACTTACGCATGGCTTGCGACTATGTGGGTCGCTATTTGGATGCGGACTTGCATGCCGAACTAACGCGTTATCTGGAAATACCAAGCGAGATTCAAGCTCTAGTCGAGGAAAATGCCACGGCAAAGAAGCGAAAATCTCAGCAAGGCCAAGCCAGTGCGAATAGTAAGAAAATAAAGCTCGCCAATGGCGAAGATGCTGCAACTCAGTTAAGGAATAGCAGTCTGCTGGACAGCGATGATAACAAGGAGAGCATCACTTCGCCGCCAAGCACACCTGCACCGCTTAAGGAGCGCACCATGACGGCTAAGGAGAAGGTTCTGGCCAAGAGCGCCAAGGGCAGCAAAAGCATTGCATCCTTCTTCAAAGTCAAATAGTTTTAGGTACTTTAATTTAGTTAAGAATAATGTTACTTCAATTCGATTGTTCAATATACTCCATCAATTTTAATTTATGTAAACAAGCGGCATTTTTGAAGTTCACTGACTTCTGCTTACATTTTTGTCACATATCTTGTCAATTGGCTTGTTTAATGTATTGTTAACATGTCTGGCGCGGCACTACCAACAAATTGGATAAACAAGTCGGCCGAGCTGTCACCCGCCACAAATTAATTACGATTGTTTGCATAGCTCTGAATATCATTTATGAGTTTTTATCAGACGGGGCCTCTGGGAGAAAGTAACTGGAAATTTGACACTTTTAGCTTGGATGAAAAATATCCAATATTGAAATTTATACACTTAAAGGAGCATAAACTTTGTCAACTTCTTTAATATGAAATTCGATTAAAAGGCGCTTAAAATGCAGCCCTGCATTCCAAAAGAAGAAGAGCATCCTGAGTTGCTCTGCCCTTTTAGTGTTGCCACATCCTTGTATGAAATTCACTGAAAAGGCTCTAGTGTAGCCCTGGTTGTTATAAACTTCAAAAGCGTTTTCATAACTGCAAGCCGTAGAAAAAATATTGAGCCACTTCTATTTTGTTTTCACAAATTGTTCATTGATTTGGAGACAGCCTCATATAATAGGTCTCGTGAATATCCATATGAAATATTATAAATAGATGCCGAAGCTTGAAAGTGTTGACCTGTCAATTTGAAATTCAGTTACTTGACATTATAAGCCTACGAGCAGAGCTTTCTTTTAACGTCAACTGTCGAGTTTTGGCCTTTTGCAAATTTGTGTTTCAGTTGAAGATATAAATTGCAAAAGCACAATGTCGATTTCTGATGATATTTTAAATGCGGAAATGGTTTATGCAGATCCTTCAGAACTGCCAAACACATTGTTTGCCGATGTTGACCCAGCGGACAGCAGTGTGGAGCAACTCTTCAAGATGCCGCTGCCATTTAAGGAGTCCATCCCCGAGGAGAAGACTGTAATCAACAATAAAATTGAGGTTGTGTCGCCGGGGTATGAGCTCAAGTACAAGCTCGAGGGACATCAGCGTCAGACTACAGCGGTTCGCTTCTCTCCCGGTGGTGAGTGGTTAAGCAGTGCATCGACTGATAGCGTACTCAAAGTGTGGGACGTGGACACGGCTAAGTTGCACCACACGCTGACAGGTCATTCACTGGGCATTAACGATGTGGCCTGGTCGTCGGATGGCAAATTCATGGTCAGCTGCAGCGACGACAAGACCATCAAGATATGGGATCCCATCACTGGCCAGTGCCAAAAGTCATTTTTAGGCCATAATAAATACGTGTTCTCATGCATCGTTCATCCGCAGTCGAATCTGATAGCCTCAACTAGCTTCGATTGTTCCGTAAGGCTGTGGGACGTACGCAACGGCAAGGCACTGAATAGGATCCTCGCCCACATGGATCCCATTTCATCTGTAGACTTTAATCGTGACGGGACGCTCTTTGTGACCGGCAGCTTTGATGGGCTTGTTCGCATTTGGGACACCATCAGTTGCCAAGTGATGAAGACGCTCATCGACGAAGACAATTCCCCGGTGGGCTATGTGAAGTTCGCCCCAAACGGCAGATATATACTAGCCGCTTATCTGAACAGTCAGATAAAGCTGTGGAATTTCCAGAAGCCGAAATGCTTGCGCGTCTACAAGGGTCACACCAATCTTAAGTACTGCATCTCCGTAAACTTTTCCGTTACGGCTGGCATGTGGATCGTATCGGGCAGCGAAGATGCGTCACTGTATATCTGGAGTCTGCAGAACAAGCAGCTTGCCCAGAAGGTGCCCGCTCACACAAGTGAGGTCATTTGCACCGACTGTCATCCCAAATTGAATCTGATAGCAACGGGCGCTCTACAAAACGCGGACAATCTCAAGATCTGGCAGAGCAGCGAGACTGTAATCGAATTAAATAAATAATTTGTATTTAATTAGAACCTAATTGCCATTTGTCTTTAAGCCAACTTTTTATTGAAAATGTTGTTATCAGCCGGTTCGTAATATTGTAAATTGCTCTGAAGCGATAAGATGATAATCAAAATCGCAAATCGTATACTCATGAGTGTGCCTGTGTGTATGTGAAAGAGTGTGCGAGTGTGCATATGTGTGTATGTGCTTGCACACAGTCTGGGCCCAGTCGAGCCCGCGGGCAAGCGATTAGAGCGTCATTCAAGTCCGGAGCGTCGCTCTGAGCGAACGTTCGCTTCGCTATTGTAACTTAACGCGGAACTAAACACCGAACCCGATACTAAACCAGAGAAATAAAATATCAATATACATATATAAGTAGACGTGAATAATCTTGTAAAAATCGTTGAGCTTGCAGCGAAGTTATGAGAGCCGACGATAATGAAGGTAATTTTATTGCATTCGAAATGCGGGCAACAGGTGAGAAGGGAAAATTAAAAATTCCCCGCTCCATATTATTGTTGTTATGGCTATTTCATGGCTGGTTAGAAAGCGTGCGACAATCAATTGAATATCTTTCAATTGATCGATGCGACAATAATGTGTGACGTTTCAATTTAAATATCAAAATCTTCAGTTTGAGTTAGCAAAAATTTTACCCTGCTTCAGCTTTAAAAAATCAATAGTAAATCTAATACAAATATTTTTGTTCACTTAAGTAGCTCATATCTGACTAACAGTTCTTGAATGCAATCAAAGTGTATGCTAAATAGCTATGTATAGATAATATGTGTGTAGAGTGCATTCTACCAGCTGCAATTCAAGTTCAATTGAGCTTTATCTCGAAGTCTATGTACACGAAATTCCCCAAAGACATATGTATGATAATAATAAACATATTACTATAAATAGCAGCTGAAACACTTTCTAATTCCAGTTTGAAAGATTTCAGTTTATTCACTGAGAGATAAGTATATACGTGACTTATTCACAAAAAACAAAAAATAAATAAATAAACCGTTTTACTTACAAATAAAAACAAGCTTATCTCTGTTTTAGTCGCCTCCAATAATTATTGTCCAAGTCAGTTGCTACCAGGCCAGATTTTCGAATCGTTTGAATTTATGACTTAATAGAGGGGTCCGGATCGTAAACATAATATATGGTCTAATGGATTTGTGACTTGCAGAGAATCTGTACCGTGAGCAGTTGCCGAACGTGGGCACGCTTATCGGAGAGAGTGGACGCAAGTTATGCCGACCCTCGACAATTGCCAGAAAATTTCCAATAATCAGCTGGCTGCCTCGTTATCGGTCGGCATATTTGGTGCAGGATTTCATTGCCGGTTTTACGGTCGGACTTACGACAATACCTCAGGCCATTGCCTATGGCGTAGTGGCGGGCCTGGAGCCCCAGTACGGCCTCTACTCGGCCTTTATGGGCTGCTTTACGTACATTGTGTTTGGTTCCTGCAAGGATGTTACCATTGGTAAGTCGTCAATAGATCATACTGTGAGCTTGGCTAACTAACACGTCTTTGACAGCCACAACTGCTATTATGGCTCTGATGGTCAATCAGTATGCCACGATTAGTCCGGATTACGCGGTGCTCGTTTGCTTCTTGGCGGGCTCGATTATTCTAGTGTTGGGCCTGCTAAATATGGGCGTGCTCGTGCGCTTCATATCGATTCCAGTCATAACTGGATTTACAATGGCCGCAGCCACAACCATTGGCAGTGCACAGATCAACAATCTCGTTGGCCTCAAGGGTAAGCTTTAAATTTTCCAATTTCTTATCGCCTAATCAGCTGGGAACTCTCCAATTTAGTGATTATTATGATCATTATGGCAGTTCGTATATTTGTCAACATATCAAGTGCCGAAATCAATAGTAGGGAATGCAGTAGTCCTTAAAACTTTTCGTGTAGCATATGCATACCCTAATTGCAATATCAATTAGCTGAGTTGCAGTCGAAGATAAAGATGTGAAACGGCGGAAGTACATCGGGTACTTATACAGCCTGAACTTATCTTTTCAAATTCAAATATCAACAGTTCATTCAAATGTGCAGTTCACTCATTGCATTGAACTTTATAATTATATTCCGAATGAACAAATTATATAATATTTAATCCTAGTTTGGTAAGTCGGCATAGAAACTCTAGCCAATCTTCCATGTGGTACATCAATTATAGGAAAGAAATCGGTCTTGAATCTCTTCTTTAACAGGTCCTTCGAATGATTTGTTGCCCTCGTGGAAGCATTTCTTCACCCATCTGCCATCGATCAGGGTCTGGGATGCCCTACTGGGTGTTGTGACTCTGATCTTTCTGTTGCTCATGAAGGTAATTGTCGTCACTAATCTTTAATCTTGCTTTAATATAATCTATCTTGCTCTTTTGCAGCAATTGATAAGGATCAGGTGGGGCAATAGGCTGGTCTGGAAATATCTCTCCCTGTCGCGAAATGCATTGGCTGTCATCTTTGGCACATTCCTGGCCTACATACTCAGTCGAGATGGCAATCAGCCCTTCCGGGTGACGGGCAATATAACAGCGGGAGTTCCACCATTCCGCTTGCCTCCGTTTAGCACAACTGTCGATGGAGAGTACGTCTCCTTCGGGGATATGATAAGCACTGTGGGCGCATCTTTGGCATCTATTCCAATGATAGCCATACTCGAGATTGTGGCCATATCCAAGGCGTTCTGTAAGTACCCACCAAGGTATTCCATTCTGACTGATTATAATTCTGCTATAACTACTTAGCCAAGGGCAAAATCGTGGATGCCTCGCAGGAGATGATTGCCCTGGGCATGTGCAACATCATGGGCAGCTTTGTGCTCTCCATGCCCGTGACTGGTTCCTTTACTCGCACAGCGGTCAACAATGCCAGCGGGGTGAGAACTCCCTTAGGAGGTGCTGTAACGGGCACCCTTGTGTTATTGGCACTCGCCTTTCTCACACAAACTTTTTACTATATACCCAAAACGACGCTGGCAGCGCTCATCATAGCAGCCATGATATCTCTAGTGGAACTGGAGAGGATTTCAGATATGTGGAGGTCGAAAAGTGAGTGGAGCACACCCAATTTTAGCACATTTTATATGCATACATCTTTTCTGTAGAACGCGATCTCTTTCCCTTTGTGGTGACAATCGTGACTTGTCTCTTTTGGAGCTTGGAGTATGGCATCGTCTGTGGCATCATAGCCAATCTCATCTATATACTCTATAGTAGCGCTCGACCGCAAGTAAACATAACGCTTGAGAAGGTAAGCAGATATCCTATTTCACATTTTCTTTATTAAAAATATATTCGACTTCCCCTATATAGATCAATGGCCACGAAATCGCCCTGGTCGATGTCAAACAGAAACTGGACTATGCCTCTGCCGAGTACCTGAAGGAGAAAGTTGTGGCCTATCTTAACCAGCAGGTTTGTAAAGTTCATTTGGCGGTGATCAAGGGTCAGGAAATTAATTCGATTGATTACACAGTGGCTATGGTAAGTTTAGTACTTTAAATACTATCAACTAAATGAAATATTAAATAATATCATTTCAATTGCTCATACAGAATATAATATCACTGTACGGCGATCTTAAGGCACTTAACTGTGAAATGATCTGCTGGAACTGGAATATTGGCTCTGCTGGCGTCGTATGTCGTCTCAAAACTGAAATGCGTTCCATATTTAAGTTTAACTACGAGCTGGAAGAGCTGATCGCCTCCCACTTCGACACATCGAAAACAGCGTCGACTGTCACCATTGAAGCTGCCCAGGGCCAAGTTAATACGGCTTAGAAGAAGCCTTGGTCATCCCATTCAGGATCACAGTATTTTATATATATATGTACATATATTGTTCGAGACACGTGTACTTAGATAAGTTATAAAAAGCCTTTGAGTATAAAACTAGACTATCAGTAAAACAAAATATATATGTAAACAAATTTTTTGGATGGATGCTACTCTTAGAGTATGATAATTAAATACAACGGCATACGCTCTGACCCATAATTCAATTGTCCAACCTAAGGATTCTAGAGCCAGCCTAAAGGTACGGCGACAGCGTGTCTGCTGCATTCGCGTCTCATATTGTATTACGAGACGTTGGGAAAATGCTTCGAGGAACCTCACCCATTATGTCATAATAGTTGCATAACAAAATTAATTGAACTGTTAACCGCAGACATTCGGGCAGACAGTCTATGAGTATTACGATCTCCTTTCTCCGAACAATTGAGCCGAGTGCAATATAATTTATTGCTTTCCCTCGCCACTTGAATGGGTCTGTCTGCGCGTCTGTCTTAAAGCGAAAGAGAGTGAGTGAGTGTGAGAGAGAGAGAAGGAGAGAGATAGCTATAGAGATAGAATAGGCTTCAACCTTTCACCAGTTGGGCAGCTAGTTTCTAGGAAGAGTTTAGTTGGGTTTTAATTGCAGCCTTTGGGGGCATCAAATGCATAGTAGTATATATGTTGACTGGAATTTAGTAGTATGCCTTACATGTAGAGGGTCCATCAATTCCTAATAAATTTGTTGGGTTCTTCGATTGCAGCTACCACCCATCTGCGCTGGAGGTCACCTTAGAAGGTTAAGCATATTTCGTCTGCCATCTGCTCACACTCCATGTGATGCTCCACAGCCTGACATCCGCCCAATACTTAATCTATACTTCCGCTATGGATCCTGTCGCATGATGTCTGCTTTCTTGGACTACCATAGTAAAAATGTCTTGTGAAAATCGATATATATGAGAGAATATGCATATTTAGATATGAACGATATCCTCTGACTCAAAAAATATGGAAAGAGCTGTAGGAAAATTACTTTTTTTTAGAAGGTTATGAGATCATTGTACATTATTATACAAATCAGAAATTTTAAATATTGCTCTTTTAAATATATTCCAAAATGTATAAAAATCCTATAAAATTTGTATTATAATTGCATAAATTCATAGTTTCTTTAACGTGGATCAACTTGATATTGATTTCTCGTCATGTCAGTGGCGCGTGGGCTGTCAGGGTCATTCGTATCCAGATCAAACTCCAGAGTGGATTAGGCAACGCTATCAAATTTAGTACCAGGTGGTTCCAGCTGCTGCATATAGCACACTTTGGGCTCACTTTGGGCATCCTTAACATAGTCGTAAGGAGCCACCGAATATAAGACGTGCCCGATAAACACAAATCGATTCAATTTGGCTAGCGTAAACAAGGAAACGGCAGCAGCTACCAGCTGGACCAATCTCGTGCCGCCCTCGGCCACGGAGATAGCAGAGATCGCACCATGTGTTTACGGCTTCCACCAATTGTAGCTGCCGCTGAGAACTATTTCGGAACAGAGGCACGCCCACAAGTGCCAAAAATAGGCAATATGACGAGCGCAAGAGATCGGAGAGAGTGAGATCGAGAGGAATGAGTGCGTGTGTAAAAAGGAAGATGTTCTGAGCGATTTATTCAGATGTGTTTTATAAGTGCTGCGAGGCGGTTCGAACTAGACGATCTTAAGCAAGACGCGCTATAGAAATTAGAGTTGCAAATAATTAAATAATTCTTAAAGATTGTGAACCATAAAGTTTGCCTTAGTGAAAGTGCCTGAAGAAGGAAATATTTGGAGTTATCGGAAAGTTGATAATTGAAAGCACTAAATATTATCTAATGCCACGCAAAAAGCGCGCCTCCAGCCCACTGGAATTGTACGATGATGATTTCGATGAGGATGCCAGCTCGCATAGTAAGCACGATTGGGAATTATCTATGTTAAATAATCTTCAACATGAAAACTCCCAAAGGTTCCCAGCCGCCGGTGCAACGGAATGCAGCCAATGCCAGGGAGCGTATGCGCATGCGAGTGCTGTCAAGTGCGTATGGACGTTTGAAGACCAAATTGCCCAACATTCCGCCGGACACGAAGCTCTCAAAATTGGACACATTACGTTTGGCCACACTCTACATTAAGCAGCTAATTAACGCCGTCGAGACAGGCAGCGGCAATCCGAATGCCAATCCAAATGCTGCCGCTGCTTCCATAGCCGATGTGCTGGATACGCGAACAGATTGCGCCAGCTCAGCCGGCGGCACAGCGACAAATTTCAATTTCCACAATGCTGGACAACTCGGCATGGTAAGTCTCATGCGGCAAACTCTGTTAACTTTCTCGACCTGTGCCAGTGCCTGTGGCTATGGAGCGTATAAGTGATGTCAGTGGCACCACTTAGCGTTGCATTGGCAATGCGATGTACACCTACACATATGTACATACATACTATATCGAAAATATATCTGTACATATATTTCTATACACACATCTTAGCTGTTGGTACTTGCAGCTGGACCGCGTCTTTTTGTGACAGGTGTCAGCGCTCAGTTATGAAAGGCGGCGTTGATAGGCTCAAAATTCATTCAGTTTCTTGTCAGACATGCGACAGATCGCAATTAACCCAATTAAAATATCATTAAATCAAATACTATTTGTCTCGCTAAGATCTGATAAAATGTGATATGGTAGTATTATAAAAGCTCTAAATAATTATTCTAATATTTGTAGTTTCAAAAACACTTCCATATTTTTAAAAATATTTCCTTTCCTCCTCCAACCTGAGCAGTTTTGTACAAACATAATCTAAAATCATATATTTATATATTCATTTTCTGTTGGGCAACATCTGTTCAAGTACTTCTATACCTTGCGTAGGTGTAGTGTCCCCCCTCCCAACCTCCTTACCAATTTTAAGTACAACAAATCACATTTTGTGATTTCAGTTTGTGTCTGGCTTTCCTGTAATCAGATACTTTTGTGAATTTCAAAAATACTAAATATGAGTGACAGACTCACACGGAGACATCGACGTCGACATCGCCGTCGCCGTCGCCGTCGCCGTCGCCGTCGCCTTTTCGTGGCTCGAGAGGTGCGGCATAGGAGAACATTGGTTATTTCTTCGCCAGTATTTCTTGTTATTTTTAAAGATGCACGACTTTGAAGCCAAGCCAAAGAGTGAGTGAATGAATGACATGCACGGGAAAACTGTCGTCTCTGTCGACTCTTAGCTAAATAGTCCGTAGTATGTAATTAAAGCAAATCAGCATTTTATAATCAAAGACTGCTAAAATCACAGATATCCTATAAAGAGATAGGGAATAACAGCAATTGTAGAACAAACAAAGGCATAGGACGCTTGAAAATATACATGTATGTATGTAATATAAATATAATATTTGTGGTATCCAGCCGTAGAGTGAGTGTCCACCTATGTGGGCGATTGCTTTATTATTCAAGGTATGATTATATTTAGTTGCATATTCCCTTATGCCTTATTCGCCTCTATTATGGAATTACCCAAAAAATAGTATAAAAATTCTACCAATTCGAATACAGGCAATTGTTTATTCATTCACTGAAGTTGAATGCGTGGAAAATGTTGAGCAAATATTATATTCGGGCGGCGTCTTGTGCCCATATGGTGGCAGTGTTTTGTTTGCATTTGACAGGATCGTAGCGTAGCTTCCTAAGCAGCTACGGCACCCTAATTTAGCTCAGTCGCACGCGCCGCCTTTCGGCTGAGGGCTGGGAAATACAGAAAAAAAAGAGAAGGAGATAGAGTGAGTGAGAAGAAAAAGAACAGATATAAGAAGAGGGAGAGAGAGAGAGAGACAGACCATAGCAATGCATTACCCATTGGTTAACCCAGGCTGCCGATGAGTGTCTTCTGTCTTTGGACTGTTTATGTTTTTATAGATACGTTAATGACGATGTTATTGTTCAACTATGAAAACATTTCATTCAAAGAGCCACTAAAAACAATCAAAATTGTATAAACAAACAATAGCGCTGTCGCTGTCGTCATATTGTTCCATTTATAGCTGTGTGTGGTTACCCCTTAACAACTCATTATATATCATACTTGAGTAGTTTGTATCCAGTATTAAAGTTCACACTTGGAAATTATTGATCAATTTTACAGAGCTGGCCTTTTGAGTTCCATCAGCACTTACAACAAGGTCACAATCGGCACAGCAATTCCAACCTGACATTCAGCTCTACGCGCATGGATTGGCAGAATTCACAGATTCAAGCGTATCCAAAGACTCCACGCAACGAGCCGCAGATGGCAGCCGAACATAACTATGGCCAGCTACACGAACCGCACTGGTATCCCGCTGAAATGGGGGGTTCGCAATTGGAGCAGTCACGCTCTATTAATGGTTGCTGCGCTTATGAATCTTCTGGTTTGGCACATCAGCGGGGCATTACAATATCCAGCAGTCAGGCGAATAGCCTTTAGGCATTTACATTGATATGTGTATTAACCGAGAATCGTATTAAAACCGTGATTTTTTTCTATTTGCTGTATGTATGTTATGTAATTTACTAAGCCAAAGATTAGAATATTGTTTTAAGCTGTACAAAATTAGTCAAGTAAATAAAAGTAACAGAAAATCAAACTTTTGGTGCATTTGAATCTCTTGACAGTCTGGCAACGTTTTATGCACAGTGTTTCACGCTCCAGCCCTGAAGACAAACAGCTGATTGTACACAAACAAAGAGGCCCAGCACAATAACAATAACGGATTTATCAACAATAGATTATGAGTATCCGCTCATATGGCGCAACAACAAAAACTTGATTAACGACAACTATCGACAATAATCTTTCGCAGAAGTAGACGAAAAAAATGAGTACATACATCTATATTTCTCAAAGTGCACGCGGTTAAAGTTCATTAAGGCGAGCAGATAAGATTCGAGCGAACATCCGTATGCATAAACTGTGCTTTCAAAAGCCAATACACATTGAGGTCGGCTTCACAATATATTTAGTTAGTACTCGCCCGTCGTAGAAGCCACACGTGAAAGTTTTCTTTGTGTGTAAATACCAGAGAGAATTGTTAACAAATATAAAACTTGATTTGAACCCGTTTCTGATTGTTGTTGTTGTTGCTGCTGCTGATATACATATATAAAATAAAATGCCTGCATTGGAAGTAAATCCAGATTTGCAAAAGGAGCGTAATACCGCGACCTTTGATCCGCAAGAGTTTTCAATCTATTGGGCTGGTGGCGTTGAGAAATACAAAGAGAAGAAAGCCTTGGGTAAGTCGATTCGCGCTTAAGCGTACTCAACATTTACTCAGTGCGATTAACTGGTTTTTTCTATGAGCTAGACTTAAAGAGCGAGTCTCTAGCTTACTCAGTCGCAGTTAAGCTGCTGTTGCAGTAGCATGACAAAGCAAATACAATGGGAGCTAACAGCGATATGTATGTACATACATACATACATGACGCAATAAACAAGTTGTTGTCAATTTAACTTTTGCACTTTGGTAATTAAACAGACAGGTGATATGTTTTCGTTGTTGTCAGTTTTGGTAACTTTTCGGGCAACCCTTGACCGGCCCTCTTGGCATCTTTGTTGTGATCGGTATCTTCTCTCTTTTGCTCATTCATAATTAATCAGCGACGGTATTTAACCTAAACGATTTATGCAAATTTTACACTTAATAATCGGCATCGCATGATAAATGCAACAAGTGGAGCTGTGAGACTAACAATGTAAACAAAGCCATTGAACTTTGTTCAAGTGACAGCATCCAAAACTAAATCGATTTCGTACGCTATTATTAGCGGTAATTGGTAGACTTTGAGTTTACTTTTGAAGTCACATAGTTCATATTACTTAACAGTAGTTAAGAATGTTATAATTCGTGCTGTTCTTTTGATAAGCCTTATCTACATATGTACGTCCACTCAATTTGGACTAATCGCTTGTAGCCAATAATAGAAAATACCAGTAGCTCGAGTATAAGATTAATTTAAAGATAGATAGACTAACAAAATTTTTATGCGTTAACAAAATCAAACTTTTTACGTACATATGTACATATATACTTGTTTACCAATTACAGAGAAATTGGTTCTCGAGGATCCTGCATTGATGGATAAATTGCCTACATCGTACATGTCCCACAAGGAACTCTATGAGGACAGTTTACGCAAAGCCTGTCTCATTGGCGAGAAGATACGAAAGCTGCGTGCTGATGGCGAGGATGGTGTGGATACATATACGTAAGTACTTTAATATTTATATTAATATTCATATGATTGATATATTTGATATTCTTTTTCAATAGTGCTCTGCTTGGCGGCTCATTGGGCGCTGCTATACTGAAGGAGGGCAATCCCATGTCGCTTCACTATGTCATGTTTGTTCCCACAATTATGGGCCAGGTTAGAATTAGTTGCGTCTCAATTAAGAGTTGGTTTAATGTGGAATTGATCTTTTTAGGGCACTATGGAACAGCAGGTGGAGTGGCTGCCCAAGGCTTGGGATTGTGAAATAATTGGTACATATGCCCAAACAGAGCTGGGACACGGCACCTTCTTGCGTGGCTTGGAAACGCGCGCTGATTACGATGCCAGCACGCAAGAATTTGTGATAAATACTCCAACGAGGACTGCGTACAAATGGTGGCCTGGCGGCTGTAAGTGTCCTAACAGCTATATAGATTATATCGTGTGACTTCAACTTGAATATTTGCAGTGGGTCACACGGCGAACTATGCTGTTGTGGTGGCTCAGCTATACACCAAGGGCGAGTTCCGTGGTTTGGCTCCGTTCATTGTACAGCTCAGAGACATGGAAACGCATCAGCCCATGCCAGGTATTGATATTGGCGACATCGGCACCAAGCTGAGTATGAAAGGTGTTAACAATGGCTATCTGGGTCTGAAGAATGTGCGTGTGCCGCTGAACCACATGCTAATGAAGAACCAACAGGTGCTGCCCGATGGCACCTATGTGGCGCCCAAGAATAGTGTCCTCACCTATGGCACCATGATGTTTGTGCGTTGTGTACTCATCAGGGACACAGCTCACAGCTTGGCTAAGGCATCGACCATTGCGACACGTTATTCGGCAGTTCGGCGACAGAGTCCCATTGATCCTAAGGAGCCAGAGCCTCAGATCATGGACCATACGACACAACAGCTGAAGGTATTCCCGCAGATATCCAAGGCAATTGTGTTTAAGATAGCTGGCGATACTATTTGGAACATGTATAATGTACTCTCCGGCGAATTGGAGCAAGGTAACCTGGAACGTCTGCCCGAGATGCATGCGCTCGCCTGTTGCCTAAAGGCCATATGCAGCGCGGATGCATCAGCCGGCGTGGAAATATGTCGTCTGTCATGCGGCGGTCATGGCTTCATGGACTGCTCAAATTTCCCTGCTATCTATGGCATGACAACAGCTGTCTGTACGTACGAGGGCGAGAACACGGTGATGCTGCTTCAGACGGCGCGTTATCTGGTCAAGGTCTATGGCCAGGCGCTGGCCGGTGAGACACTGGTACCAACCGTGGCCTACATCAACGAAGCTATCAAGCTAAAACAATTTGTCAATTTCGATTGCACGTTGGAGTCAATCGTGAAGGCATTCCAATTTGTGGCAGCGAAGTAAGTGCATAAGTCCATAAACAAATATATATTACAATATTTAATTCAATCTAAATGTTTATAGCAAAACACGGGTGGCCTACGAACAGATCGAAATGCGTCGCCGACAGGGCCACAGTACGGAGGTGGCCGCCAATCTCAGTGGCATCTTCTTGACAGGCGCCGCAGATGTAAGCAGTAATCATAGTTCTTACATTCATATACTATATCTAACTTGACTTTTAGCTACACGGACGCGCATTCTTGGCCCAAACCGCGTACACAGAGCTCACGGCTATTTCGAAACAGGTTTCACCGGCACTGGCTGACGTGCTAAAGGTGGTGCTGGAGCTCTATCTTGTCGATGCGTGCCTTAACCGTATTGGTGACTTTTTACGGGTGAGTAAGACATTATCTTATCTAGTTAAGATATACGAGAAAGTGCTATTACTAACCGACAAAAATTGTAGTTCATTGAGTTTACTGATGCGGATGTCACTAAATTGGAAATGCGATTGGAAAGCTGTCTGAAGCGATTACGCCCAAATGCCGTCGCTTTGGTCGATAGCTTTGATTTGCACGATCGCGTTTTGGATTCCGCATTGGGTGCATACGACGGCAAAGTGTATGATCACATATTTGAGTCAATTAAGAAGAACCCCCTCAACAAGGAGCCGGTGAACGAGTCGTTTCACAAATACCTGAAGCCCTTCATGAAGGCCCATTTGTAATATAATGTTATTTGTTTTCTTCCTTCGGGAGTATTTCGATACTCTTATATGATTGTTATGTCGTCGTATTTGTACATATTATTAAACCTTATTTGTATATTTTATACTATGCAACATGACTCCTTATTGTACATCCTCTCCCAAATATTGTATAGTCCAAAGTATATTATGTGAAGTCTTGGTTGTGTGTTTTAATAGAGCTTACACTAAACGCTTTATTAAAGATTGGTTTTAATTATAGTTTGTTAGATAGAGAGTGTGACTGCAACACATATCCTCAATTAGCAGTTCTTGATGCTGGCTAATTTTGATCTAATTATCGAATGCTGAACAGAGCACAGCCTTAAAGCCTTCGGTAATGTCGCTTATGAAGCACCAGCTGGATTCTTGGCGTTACGTTGTGCATAGAGCCGCCGCAACAGTCGATTGCCACAGAGGAATGTGAATACTGCGATTGGTATGAGCAGGCGCAGTGTCTGGAACATGTTCAGTCGCAGCCAAAAAACAAAGAAGAGCGCCAATATGCCACCAAAGCCCAAATGGAATCCAATTGTGCTGGGTGACAATGTAAAGTTCGACACATTTATGCCCAATTTAGCCCAGAAGACGAAGAGCAACACAAGGGGCGTTATGCATAGGCCAGTGAAGATATCCGAAACAATGCGGGGCGGACGCTTATCGGGCACGCGGAATTGATGCTCGATCTCTGGCAGAGGCCCATTCACATGCCTGGGCTTGACATCTGTGGAAAGTATTGCATTTAATTAAAATAAAATAATTATGAGGGACAACTACACTTACCTCTGTCTGGTTGATTGAATTTCAGCTGCACAGGAGCCAAAAGCCAGTCGAATGAATTGGACAACGAAGCATCGCCGACAGTCAGATAAATGTTATACAAGCCATTTTGGAAATTGAAATTCTTGCCTTGATTGCCCACATCCATGTCAAACTTGTATGCCTTGCTGCTGTCCTGTTCAGCTACGAATATGATCTCTTTGTCTGTTTCTCGGTTTTGGAGACGTACAAATACCTGATGCACTGCAATGGGCTTGTTGGTGCTCTCATCGACCAACAGCACTTTAAGCAGCAGCTTCTGTGTGCTGTCCGCCGTGAGGGTATCTTTCAGCTTGTTGGGATAGCTGACGCTTTGCTTGCGTGTGGCTGCACTGGCATCGGATTCGGCAATGCCCACTTCTAGAGTTTGTACCTTGACACGTCCCAACACTTTAAATTGCAGATTTTGTTTGTAAACGCCATCACCATTCAACTCCGCCTGGTATATGCCGCGACCTGGCTTTAGGCTGCTCAAATCCGCTGCATAGGTAGTTTTGTCTGAAGACTTCGACACCAGCTGAATCTTTTCTGCCAACACAGAGCCATCCTTCTTCACACTAATCTTTGCACTGAGGCTCGTCACAGGTGGCGACAGGGGCTTGCCGAGCAAGTCAACAACTGCTACATTCAGAGTTGGCGACTGGGCCTCCAGTTGTCCATTTCCAATAAGCTGTATGCAGATGGGTGATATTTTGTCCGCGCTACTGATTGTTTTTAGCGCCTCGATTAGCACATGAGCTCCCTTGGCAGTTTGAACTGAACGACGACTCAGCAAATAGTTGGCAAATTTAACAGCTTGATCAGCTGTAACAGGCGCTGGCTTGTTAAAAGCCTTGGACACACCAAACACACCATTTAGTATCAAGGCGGTTATGCTCAGCCCTCCCTCGAATTGCAGCAGTCGGCCATCAACTTCGTCAGCTTGAACAATAGCGTCCTCGGTACGGTCGGCAATAAAACTGGCACTGGGGCCGAGCTGGATAGCCACATTAAATGCATAGCCCAGACCGCTTAGTGTATCATCCCTTTTCAGCACCTCCTGCAAACGTTTCACAATTTTCGCCTGCACTGCGTCGCTGACCTGGACGCCGAGTGCTTTGTGCGTCGCTAAACGATAGTAAATTTCCTGTGTGGTGGCCAATTCCGAATCCAGCGAGCTGTAGACCTTCGACAACAATGCTTCATCGATCTTTGTGGAGCAACGCAAATTTCTGTTGGCACCAATCAGGTAGTAGTCCTTCTCAAAGTTCTGCAACCGGCACAGAGGTTAAAATAAAAACAAGAACTCCTCTATCTCTATACCTACGTTTAGTTTAGATTCTGTATGTAATGTAGCAATCTTTTTGCATAGCGCTTCTTTTGTCGCAGCATCAGTGGTCTCAATGTTTAGGCTGGCAAAGAAAATCGCTTGCAGATCGTTGGAGCTTAGGCCATCAACAAAGACTTTTTGCAGGCGGGTGAGATCCTTTGGCCCCAAATGGCTATCGACGGTGCGCGCACTCCAAGTCGTTGCAGCGACGCAAAGCACGCATAGAAGCGTAAAGGCTATTACAGCAGAAAGAAAAATCATTATAATACTGTGGAAAAATGTATTGGACAAGTTTCAAAAGCGCACAGTCAACGTCAACGCCGGCAAGTGTGACAGAGAACGAGACAACGCGACAGCGCCTATGCCGGCGTTTCTGCTACACACACACACAAGGGCCGATTCACTTTGACGTTACCTTATAATGGTAAATTATGACTTACCGATTTTAAGCATTGTCCTATATATGTAGCGTTATGAAACGCACCTTAAATGCTATAGGATAATAAATAAAAAACGAGAGAATAGCCCTACTCCGCCTGTTTCAGCTTCGATATTTTTTACAGACACGTCAGCGACAGTGTTGTCTATTAACTGTGAACATTAGGGATGGCCATCATAAAACACGTTCAAAAAGTGTGTACACACTTGCACGCAATGTAAACTAACTGCTTTATCGATTAATGCAATGGCAATGTTATACAATTTTATGCGTTAATTTAAATTTATTATTTATCGAAATTTAAATTAACTTGAGCTAAACTGTATTTAATTTGCGCATAATTAATACAAAGTTTTACACGAAACATTAAAACTAAACTGGATAATAACGTGAATTTCTATTTACTGTCCAAACTTCTCAGTACATTCCTGTAATGGCCTGGTTATGGAGTATTTAACTCTAAAAGTTTTCGTAGGATCGCCCTCATGATTCCAAAGAGTTATGGGCGTGGTACAATACAGAGGATATTTGTTAATACGCAATTCCAAACGCTCCTCGTCCTCTGGTGGCTTATCTTTACAGAAGTTCTCAAAATATTCGGTGTGGTTAGGTCCCAAATTAGGTACAACTATATTCTGTCGATTGTATTCATCGAGAAGTTCCTTCCACAGAAATTTCTTCATGAGATTTGCTCGCGTAGCTGTAATAATATAGTAACTTACTTAAACCGAACTTTCATTGATATTGTGGGCAGTTACTAGGTATCTTATTTCTGTAAGGTACTCCAAAACTCTCCTGCGTTTCGGTATGCTCTGCAATGCAGGGTCCTTTGCCCTTGATGCGAAAGCTTTCGTCCTGATCCATTTTAAGCGTGTTTTAAGGCTAACGAAAATAATTTATTTATTTAGTAAATAGATTTGTGATGCGAGCAATAAAAAGTGTTTGACTGAATGCTTCGGCAAGGCAAACACATTTGTAGCTTGACAACGAGGCAGCTAGGCAACCGACTGCTCTGACTGTTGAGGCGGCGCCTCGTCTTCCTCGACGATGAGCGTCACGTCTTTGGGACGAAGTATACAGTAGTAGACGACAATGGTGGCCAGGAACAGGACGCCGCTGTAGACAATCCACTCCCAAATGAAGCCAAACCACCAGGATTCGAATTGTTCATTGCCATACCAAATGGCTGTCATTGTTATGTTCTCCGCCAGCACGAGCACCAGATACGAGATATACCAACGTCGTATGCTCTTGAAGCATACACGCAGCTCGATCAGCACGAAAATATAAATGTAACCAAGCAGCAGGTAGAATAGACAGCGACTCCAGCTAACACGGCAGCGCGTCTCCAGCGCCAAGGCGGCCAGCATCAAGGCATAGTGCACGCCCACCACAATGAAGAAGGCGCGTGGATAGAAGACGCAGAAGGTGGCCAGGGACAGCATGCGCATTGTGATGAAGGCTATCCAGCCGAAGAAGGCAACGGTGCGGCCAGCGAAGTCATCCTGCTGGATGCCGTTCACAATCTTTGTGGGCCGTGGAAAGTAGAAGTCGACCACGTCCTTGGGCGTCAAGGGTGTGCCCTTTGGAGTCTGTGCCACCACCAAGGGCGTACGCTCATCGGAGTTGGACTCCTCATCCACACGTCCAATGAGCAATTTGGGTGGACGTGGCACGTGGTCCTTAATGTAAAGCTGAGCATTCACGAGCAGCATATCCTTGAACGTCTCCAACTGTGAGAGGGGACGTGTAATGCGTTTGCTTCTTCTGTATTCCGCATCCGATGCAGTGCGTCGCAGATCTGGCGCTGCAGGCGGATCATTCTCTGTGGGCAACCGCAGCATGGGCAGCGCTGCTGGCGCTGTGGCTGGTGGCGGCGGCGGAGCTGGCGTCTCTGGCACTGTGTCCAGCACTTCAATGCTATCCAAGTGCTTCAGCTCCTCGCGGCGTAAGTGCAATTTGGGTCGAGCTTGATGCATCTTATCATCGTCCGTGACGTTGCCGGGAGCAGTGGTGCTTGTGGGCGGGTGTAGCATAGCTATTATCTCCAGCTTCTCCACAGCATCGTTGTCCACTTCATCGTGTCCAGCTACGTGCAACTCATGGCTGCCAACTGCTGACGTATCAATCTGACTGCCCGATTCCTGTCGCGCATGAAAGTTCGCCATGATCTTCTCCGATTGCGGAAAACTTGTGGCCAGTGAGCGCTCCGACTCGCGTTTTCTGCGCTCCGCCTCTCCGCATAGCCGCTCATTCTGCTCCAGGCGGCAGCGCTGGGCTTCCACCTGCTGCGGCGTTGCCCAGGGGTAGTTACGACCCACGCGCCGCTGACTCTCGATGCGATGATAGCTGGTAGTAATCCCAGCCAGATCAATGGCTGCAAATACCAGACACATACTCTGCAAGGTGGCTGCAAAGGAAGGCAATTAGACCAGCCAGTCCGGATTGAAGGCAAATCTTTGAACTCACTTGTCTCATAGTTGCGAAAGATGTCCTGGACGAGCATGTGGTACATCTGC